AAGTGCAGCAGAATTTTTTTTTGTAACCTTGGCCAGATCTGTGCCTTGCCACAATTCTGTCTCTGAGCTCTTCAGGCAGTTCCTTTGACCTCATGATTCTCATTTGCTCTGACATGCACTGTGAGCTGTAGGGTCTTATATAGACAGGTGTGTGGCTTTCCTAATCATGTCCAATCAGTATAATCAAACACAGCTGGACTCAAATGAAGGTGTAGAACCATCTCAGGGATGATCAGAAGAAATGGACAGCACCTAAGTTAAATATATGAGTGTCACAGCAAAGGGTCTGAATACTTATGACCATGTGATATTTCAGTTTTTCTTTTTTTATAAATCTGCAAAAATGTCAAAAATTCTGTGTTTTTCTGTCAATATGGGGTGCTGTGTGTACATTAATGAGGAAAAAAAATGAACTTAAATGATTTTAGCATATGGCTGCAATATAACAAAGAGTGAAAAATTTAAGGGGGTCTGAATACTTTCCGTACCCACTGTATATGAGTCTGGACAGATCTGCATGCAAACCGCATCTTGACTGGTTAAAACCGCAAGGAGGTAATTCTAGTTGTTTAAAGCAAACATTTCATTTGTATTTCTCAAATACAACATTCTCACATGCGAGCAAATTCGGAGAATTTAACAGGAACACTGATCAGGTTTTGTTTCAGCTTCTGTGCATACTGAACAGGCCACCTGGGCACCTAGAGAAAAACTAAAAAAGCAAAAGGACAAAATGAGAGACAAAACAACCACAAAGATGCGAAATGACTACGAAGACCTGGTAGCTGAATATCTTGGGTGCCCCTGAATGTGACACCATGCTAAAACAAGTCTGGGAAGCCTCAGAGGATGCTTCTTCTGCTCAGTTTGTCACACCAGAAAATGTCTGTTCTCATGAATATGAAACAGCAAATGCTGACATATGCACACAGAATAAGCATAAACACAAACAGCCTTGTAGGAATAATTCATTTTTTTAATGTCCAGCATTTCTCGTTTCGACAGTAATGGGGGAACAGCTGTTTCCATGACCCCTTCCCCAGAAGGCATCCCATAATGAACACAGGTTAACAAAGACAATCTCCCATCCATCTTCCTCCTCCTCTCTTTCGCTTTCCTTTTGTCTCTTCCCTCTTTTTCAGAGCACATCACATTTCAGTCTCAGCTCAGTGGCTCCTGTTGGTCCAAACCAGATTAACCTGGAGTTTTCTCTAATTTCCCAGTTACTGACAGCTGTCAGTCATGTGTAAAAGCAGTTAAATTACCAGTATATAGGCTGATTTGGTGACTGTAAAGCTTCAGCCTCAGATTTATAGAAGTGGACAGGAAGAAAAAAAGGTTGGATTTGGATACAGCTGAACAGTTTTCACCAGATTTATAGTATAGATACGTTTCTATTCAATCTTTTATTTTGCAATGTTGAAATGTTTAAAAGCTCAGTGTCCTGTTAAGGACCTTTGACCCGCATTCATTTGGAATTCTAGGTGTAAATAGAGACATACCTTCACGTTCTTCTCTTTTTGTCCTCTATATGTAAATTTCTTGCAGTGAGAGACTCAGTATAATAAGAACAAGTAAATACAAAAGACATTTGGACAATAAAATAAAATAAATCACTTACACATCGTAGAAACTGGCAGCACAACATAAATAATCATTACATTGTCAATAAATTATTGATAAATAAAATAAATCTCATGTCTGTACAAATAAAAGATATAGTCAGTTAAAGAAAAACTGATCTGTGAAAAAACTAAATATAAATGAACGAGGCTGTTGGATTTTTTTTTAGGTGTACCAGTCCTTTGACAGACTGTTAGTATTTCCTCTGGAGGAGCACTTCTTGGCAGGAATACTGTCACAAATAGGTTTGCTTGTCACATCCCAGGGACATGGGACTGACAGAACAGCAGTCAGAGCAGGGAGATCTGCACCTGCGAGCTCTGTGAGATGTGTTTATTTTCACCTTCTGCACTTCCATCCATTTTCTGTATCTCTCTGTGACAAGAAACATCCTGTCCCATTCTCTGTGGTTACATTTTGCACATAGTCATGGTTCTAATGCAGTTTATTTTCCTTCAAACCTCATCTAGTTTTCTACATCACTATGTTCAATGTACTCTGTTTAGCCCTGTTCCTTTATATTTGTTTCCTCTCTTGCTGTTCTAGTGTTCTAATGCGTGGACATACTTACAGACAACATATTCTGGCAAAGCATAAACCTCATGTTGCCTTCAATGTTTATAACCTACTGCATTTTTTTTCATTACAAAAAACACTTAGGTTAGCCACAATCCCTTGACCTCCCTGAAAGCTGGTGGAGACTGCCTGCCTGCCTCCTTGGCGTTACAAATGCCTGCGTGTTGCTTTCTTAAGGCCTGAAGTCAGTGTTCACACCGACAGCCACAAGAAACAAGCAACTCCTGATGGAAAGACCTGCATCTCAAAACCACTTAGAGGCTTTTAGTGTCGACACAACTGACACCTCTTCTTATTGGAAAACTGGTCCACTTCCACAGAAGCGACCATAGATCTTGCAAGAGACCTCATCTGTGTGCAACAATCGCCACGCTGAGAATAAATCTGCATTAATGTGTTCTGGTGTCAACCTCTCCATCAGTGACAGCTCATGTTAGTTATTTCTGAGCAAGCAAAGTCAGATTTCAAGTGGTTCTGTGAGATTTCTCAAGTATAAAAAATATTTGAACCAATTTCCCAGCAACTGTGCTCAACCAAGCACTTAGCAGTATTCTGGTGTGGGATTCATGTGCTACAGATATGAGATAATGTATTCATGTTGATACCATGCTGGATATGTACTGTCTTCTCACAGGTCTCCAAACAAATATCTGAGCACACCGTGATATGACTCATAATGTCCTCCTTCAGATCCACTCTCCTCCTACAAACCTAATCATGGCACCATTATTATTTTTAAGAAGGTGACTTAAACAAAATCGCGGACCTGATTTTAATCACATAAAACTGGCAAACATCAATGTTTCAAACTGATTTTAAGCAGTGGTCCTTTTGGCTTGGATTTGCACAGAAACTTTTATGAATGAGTTTCCTGGATGCTCCTCTGACATCTCTTGAGGCAGGTTGAGTGGTGATGCATCAAAGTGCAAAATAGCTTGGGGATCTTTAAATGGTTGTTACATGGTGCAGCCTCATACAGAAAATCAGATGGATGTCTACCTTCATTCACCAGGTCTCCAGAACACTAAAGATGTATAATATCAATTGACTGATATGGTCCGGTCCAGACAGAAGCAGGCACAAAGACACAGACAGATGACAAGGTCACGTTCACAAAACAGTACAATCTCCTGAAAGAGTTGATACTTTGACACTTGTGAATTAACACGTTGTTTTCATCATTTCAGCACAACCACCTTGCCATCTTTTTCTCACACCATCTTGCTCCATCAGATCTTTTCTTTTATAATAATCCCTTCCTCTATTTACAGTTACTTCTCGCTACATTGATATTTTCCCTTCAACCACATCTTGTGGTTTCAGTAATCTCATCAGTTGCTATTGCTGAACCCCTGTCGCTATACACAGAGTTGATGGGTTTGAGGATAACTGTTTTCAGGGAGATTTTTTTTCCTTTGTAGGGGGAAATCTCTCCCTCAGCGACAAACAAGACTGCACTCACACCAACCTCGCTCACAACCTCACACGGACACCATCATTTAAGAAAAAAACATCACAAGTGAGTTCTTCTTCATCTCTAATGAAAAAGATACAAAATGTATAAAAATGTTATTTACAGTCTATTTTTTTTTCCTTTAGATGAATCTTGTCTGGATCAGGCCGACAAGTCTGTTTGAAACCTAAGGAGTTTGTGTGAGTTTTCAGGTAGTAGAGGTGGTTGACTCACCGTCCAAGGAACTGGCATATGTTATTGTAGGCGGTAGGACTCAAAAAGCTTTATTTATATCGTTCAACCCACAAACAAGCATCCTGTTTTGCCTTCAGTGAATGCACCATCTGTGTGTCTTTGTTTGTTTGCCATCCTCCTATGTCCCAGGCTGCCTCAGTGGTTCAGGACCATCCACCAACTTCCCTGCCCCCAGAAGTCGCAATGCATAAAGAGACATGGTGGTTGTCATCAAGACTGCCCTTCACTTCTGTTGGCTCTGAGGTGAAGGAAAGGAAAATGAGTCATCAGTTAGTTTGTATTGAAACTCCTCCACTGAGTGTATATTCAGTTCCAAACAGCGATGGCGATGAAAATGGCAGGTCAAAATGGAAATGAGCTACTGGAGGCAAAAAGGCAAAGAGAAGGGGAGGCCATTGCTAGAAATCATAACAGAGGAGGACACAAGGGACAGTAAGATAAAGAAGCTGAAAAGTAGAAAGTGGAACTGAGGGAGCTGAGGACAACTGAGATAAGAAGACATAAAGACAGAAACACAACAGTGAGAAAAAGAAGAGTTGAGTAGTGGATATCATCGCTATGATGTTGCTGAGAAAGTCAGAGGAAGCGAGCAGAGAATCCAAGTCAAAGATGAGGGGAGACAGAATAAGATGTAGAAGAGAAAAGGGAGGGTAGTATAGGTAGAGACAGCTTTATTCACACAGAAAGACTTACTCAGAGTCAGGGGAGACTTCAGATATGCTGTGGGTAGTGGCAGACTGTGGCGGGGAGGGTGAGGGTCCATGGTGTAGTGATCCATTAGGTCCAGGGTTAGAGGCAGCAGGTGGAGGAGTGAGGACTGAAGAACTGAAGGATGCCAGAATGGAGGACAGAATATCCAGATGTTCGCTGGATGGCTGTCGACCCAGAGGGTTTGGATTTGAACCTGCGATTTGTGGGACAATCTGACCTGGGTGCCTACATGAAGGTGTGGAGTCCAGTTGCCCTCTGACATGAACTGACGGAGGGAGCTGCTCGTGTTGGGGATCCTCAGAGATTGGGGGAGGAGGGGAGGTGGAGGGGGGCTGATCGGGGTGCGAGGGCTGGCGGGGAGGCAGAGTGCGGAGCCACTCCCGACATGGCTGAGCCTGGGCTCCCACACCATTGGTCTCAAGCTGCTCCTTCGACCTACTGCTCACCACTGCCCCACCTAGGTGCTCCCGGGATGAGGCCTGCCGCCGAGTTAGTGTGTTCAGCTGCGACCTCGATCCACTGAGGAAACCCTCCATTCCCGCCCCGAGACCTCCACTCAAGTCCTCCCTCGAGGCATGGACGCTGCTTGCGTGCTGGTTGTCCAGTCTGTCCCTAGATCCTGTCAAGTTCTCCCTCAATGATGAGACTCGCTGGTGATCCAGCCCCAAGCCCCCTAGCCCTGCACCCTGCCCCAACCCCAACTCTCTCCTCCTGGGTAGGAGATCCAGGTTGTCCCTGGAGCCCCGGGAGTCCAGCCGCTCCCTTGATCCCCCAACCGTCTGCCTCCCTAGTGGATCCCTGGACAGCTGCCTCCGGGCAAGCGAGTCCAGGTGCTCCCTAGAGGAGTAGCGAGAAGCTGGCTGGGAGAGAGAGCCGGTACCTCTGCTGGCACCAGCGGTGGCAGAGTACATGCGACCGTAAGAGGCTGCAGGAACACCTCGGTGGCCCAGAGTAGAGGTACGGTACCAGTTGAGCTCACTGGGGACCCGACCCATGCTGGAGAGACCCTGGAGTGCTGGAGGACAGCCGAGACGATTTTTTAGGATGCCTGTAAGCAGAGGATATGTACACAAGAAGGAGAGAGGATGGCATAAATGGCACATTAATAGAAGTATTGGAGTAATCTGCAAATACTGACAGAGACTTGAAAATCAAGTTGTACTAAAATACAAACTGTACTCCATATGTTTTGTGGGTTTTTTGTGTATAAAAATGTTAACACGTTCCCAGGCTTTCAGGCCACATGAGTTTGCATCTAATTGATCTGTCAGTGGGTGTTTGCATGTGAGATGCACCTTTGTGTGTTTGTGAACATGCCATTTGACATGTATGTATTGTGAGTACACATCCTGTGCTGGAAATATAACATGTATATACACTATTAGCTGCTGCAGTAAAACAAAAATACATTTTTAACATCCTTAAAAGAGAAGGCACTTCTACTATGGTTTACATGGAGGGTACACGATACTGGAATAATTAAAATGTGCTACAGAGTAAAAGGTATCATTTACTGGACTGTGTTTTAAAAGATGCTTTGCCGATTCAGCTCACACAGCAAACATCTCGTCCATTTTCTTCTTGGCACAATGCCCCATTTCATCCTGATGAACGGGCTACATCAGTGCGACAGGAGGTCAGGAGACTTTACTTTTGTTAAACAGCTTGATGAAGATAATATATTTAAAGTATAGAGGCCAGAAATGGATATCCAAAGATACACAACCAAAAACTGATTGCACTTGGCTTTACCCCTTGAAGATGCACATGTAGCAATCCTATGAATTAATGTACCAGATATTTGCAGCAATGAGAAAAAGGAGAAAGAAACACAAGTATGTCTGCTCACTTTTCTTGACTGCATTTCAGAATAATTAAAGATTATTTTCTGTTTGTTATTACCATCTTAAAGGTGTGTTTCACAGTCAGTATCCACATGCCATCATCTGAAATCTATGACCTAATGTTCAAATTTTATACACAGGTAGGGCAAACTAAAAATTAGAGTAATATTCAAAACAATTCCATTCAAATCTCAGTGCATCCTCAGACTGAATGTATTTCTGTTCTTCTGTTTCTCTCACCCTTGCGGTGCCTGTGTGGCTGAGTGAGGCTGTTCTCGTCCCCACTGGTCAGTGCTGCATCAGTCTGGTTGTTGTTGGCGGCGTCCTTGCTGTAATCTGCCCCCAGGGGGCGTTCTGAGCCCCACTTTTGCAGGGTGTGTGTGTCACACTCCTCCAGAGCTGGCCAGTAGGACAGGAGGTCATTGCCATCCAGATCTGACCCACACACACAAATAACAAACTCTTTGCAGTTACTTGTGAATTTAACATCAGTTTCAGGGATAGTGCAGGAAAATGTAGACTTTTCTCAACATTTATGTTTTCACTTCAGGTAGTGACGTACAACAAAGCAAAAAAGCTCTGAGTAGTTAAGAAACTGAAATAGAGAAAGGGAAGGGACAAAATCACATCAAATCATCATTGCTGGCATCACTGAAAGTAATTCATCATTAATGCCAGTAAACACCATTCATGAAAAGCTGCTAATATGCTCTTATGCCTCATTCATCTTTTTAATTTGACATCAAGCATTGTGCAACATTTTTTTCCTGCATGTGCATCCTAATAAAAACAAAACCATATGTCTGTAACAAATAACAGGTGTCAACAAACAAATAGCATATGTTCATTATGAAACAACAACTAGGGTGAAGTAAAATGATTACATTGTATTAGTTGAGAATATATCAAATTAATGTAAATGACCTACAAACAAACCAAATTCATTATTTTAAATGTGCAGAACACACGTGTTCTATGGACCAGTAGACATGCCTTTCAAATTTGAGCAGGTGGATCCTGAGAATCTGATGATTAGTTTTTATATCCATTATCAAATCTCTGTAGATATAATTTCTGTGAAGAAATTAAATAATCATTATTCATTCCAGCTATAAAATACAATCTGTCTCTGGAACATTGATGTTAATTCCTTATTCTGACAACCACAAATAGCTCTAATTGTTAGTGTAGTAAGCCTTTTCAATACTGCATCAATACAAGTTAAAAACCCTTTGTTTCAACTCGATTCAAGTCATGGCACTTTATTTGTCTCTCCCATTCATTACAGCCAGTCTGCAAAAAACAGCACACACAGACACCACAAAGACAATCCAAAACTACAAACGCCCTTCACTTTGTATAACATGCAGGCAAAGCAGGCATGAAAGGTTTTCTTCTGTCTGTTGCAGCTGTGCACTGAACACACATGTACATTCCCAGCACCACAGTTGTGTAACGCTGCTCAGGCAGTGGCTCTGCTGAACTGATGAGGAGTTTAATGTCACAACCAGTGGGATACCGTCTTCAAACTGTGGCCTTTTCAGGCTGCTCTGACCCTTTAGTTTGACTGCACTGATGAACTGATTGATCTGTATCCTGCCTCCCTTTCATCTGACAACTTCAGTCCACATTTCACTCTGGTTTATTAGCCTAAGAAGTGATTACTTATATTGATTTATAGATTTGCACATATCTGGCCTTTTCTTGTGGTGAAAGTTTTCACAATACACTGTATAAGCATGACATTTATATCACACTTTAAGATGCATAAACTCATATTATGCATGATATTTTTTCATGTGTATCAGAAGATTGATTAATGACCTTAGACACAAATGATTCCTCTTGTGGTATGGGTGGGTTATTGTGCCTACACATGTTGCATGTTTCTACAAATCTGAAATAAAAGAGTGGACTTTTTCCTACAGCAGGGGGCAACCTGTTCTACCCTGCTGGCTGGCTGCGTCCTTTGTGTTGAATTAAAGGAATACTCCATCAAAAGGTGATGACATGATCCAGAAGTAACATATTTGTTTTGTTGTGGAAAGACTGTGAGTATTTACCACATCAGCGGTGAAGAAGATGTCATTTGAAAAGTTTCTATAGATGTTTTGTGGTATAGTTTTTTTGCCATGAGTATGGGATGGCCTGTCCTTGTAGCTGCTGGGAATCTAAATTGGTTACTGACAATCACTAAAGAGCTTGGTTACCTTTGGTGCTATTGTGGGTGGGCTCAGTGAGCAGACGCTCACTGTGATTGGAGCGTTTGAATCGTCGCTGGATGCGCCCACGGAGTCGGACGTTGTCCTCGCTCTCAGAAGAAGGGATGGAGAGGCTGCGTTCCTCCTCCATGGAAAGATCTGAGTCCGAGTCTGAGTCCTCACCTGGAAGGAGAGAGGGAGAAGAGGAAGAGGGAGAGTGAAAGAGAGCGACAGAGAGGAACCAAGTGAGCGGACATTCACATGGAGAGAGTGAGAGAGTAATAAAAGGAAAGGAAAAGAAAGAAACACAGATGTGTGACCATGTCTGCTTATATCTACTTATTCCGGTGTGTGAGTGTGTGTGTGTGTGTGTGTGTGTGTGTGTGTGTGTGTGTGTGTACCTCCATCTCTGTGGAACATGGCTACATCCAGGTCTGTCGCTCCAGTGTGGATGATGTTTTGTTCCAGAGTCTGACGAGCCAAAAGATTTTCTCTAACAGGAAAAGACAGAGGTGATTACACAATTACACTCATGCACACAAACATATACTGTATACTACACTATATTCTATGCACTCACACAGGCCACTACAGATTCAAAATAGAGAGTATCCACACACATACAGTATGTAATGCACATACTGTACACACACACAGACAGTCACTGAGCCATAAAGACACCATGAGTCGCTCTCAGAGTACATTAGTGTTGCTCTACATACAGTACACAACATTGTTATATCTACCCTTCATATTTACCTCACTGACCCACAAAATGCACGGCACGGTTTTTATTAACCAACTTCCTCCCTGCAGCAACTCTCCCATAAAACAGATAGTCACAAAGAATCAGTGAAACCTGACAGGACCCTATTTTAATTATTGATTTATTTTGTGTTTGTTTTTATGATTCAGTGTCAATAACACGTTTTCATTTTTTATTGCTGGTTTAAAAATTATTTGCTCTTCAACAACAAAAGCAACTAGTCTCTTTTATCAAGTTTATCTCTAGTCAGCTGGTTACTATTGTGATGTGTACATTGTGTTTGTGTGTTTGTCTACCTGGCCGAGCTGACAGAGGAGATGGTGGAGGTTCCCAGGGTGATGCGGTGCAGCCCGCTCTGCTCCAACAGAGATGCATTGTGATAGGGGTTCTGAGCCTGTACAGGAGCACACACCAAAAGGTGTGGATTAAATTCAGTTTTCAGTTTTCTATCCATATTCTAATGTGATTTAAAAACTATAGCCCCCCCTCCTCCATGATATTTTACTGTAGCTTCTAGAGATTCAAGGAAATTATTACAGCTGCTGAGTGTTGACAGATTAAAAAAAAATTCCGGAGGTTAGGCTAGGGAAGCAGAAGCTAACCTGCAAACAGTTTCATACAGCATGAGGCAGATAGGCAGTACAATGCTAATTGGTGGTCATTTACAACTAAAATGCACCAGATCAGTATTTTGTGTGTGGTTGTTTAGTAATAGTTTTGGTATGCTTCTCTCATTTTGCCCCAGCTGACTCAGTGATGAATAAGAAGAGCTTTGGAGGAAATGAGGGTTACCAGAGACAAATTCGTCGTGTTCAACACCCCTGGCCAATAAAGCTGATTCTGATCTTCATAAAGCAAAGCATGAACTACATATAAAGTCACACGTGTGCTTGCATGTCAACACAACCATCTTGCACACACACTCACACATTCAGAGTACCTATGAAGTTAGATAGAAGAGTGGATTTAAAGGGGATATTGAACAGTGAACACAGACACATACACACTCAGACACACACTAGCACTGGGGAGAGGAGTGTTTTTAAAAGGTACAAAAAAAAAAACAAGAGAGTGCAGTGACCTATGAACTAACAGACACACACAAGACAGAAAAGAGAGCGAAGGAAAGATGCGAAACCAGGACAGGGTTACAGAGACATGCACACACACAAAGCTTCTGTGGAAGTGCACTAAAAAGCCGACAGGGCTCCGCTGGTCAGTATATTGCATTATCTGGGTCAGCAACAAACCCTGAAGGCAGGAGAGGAGAGAGAGAGGACAGGCAAGATGGATGGATGGGTGGATAGAGAGAAGGAGGAATGGGCATCAGGAGGGCTTTTGTGCTGTCTAGTAAAACTGTTGAACAGATAAGGCACAGTAAAGGCTGTGCATTCATGTAGCACATTGATAAACAGCTTCACAGTAGTGTCTAAGATTTACCCTGTAAGTCATTTAATGGCCGTCTCATTATACATGTGCATATCATGTAAATGATTAAAATCATTTTTAACCTTTTTCTTTATATTTTATTTTTGTATGCTTGTTGCCATTGTGCTGTGTAAATTAATCAGATCAAGATGACAAACAAGATAAAATTGCTTTAACAGAGATAAGATTTAACTGGATAAATACCCAAGTACAGTTTGTGTGTACATGTGTGGGGCTCACTGTGTTCTGCGGTGGCCTTGGTGGGTCTTCTCCCTGGCTCTTCTTACCCAAACAGGCAACTCTCCAGGCCTCCTGAACCTCTGAGTTGAACACAGTGAAGACCAGCATCACTGACAGACCCTGGGAGAGAGCAGGTGGAAGGACACGGGGAGAAAGAGAACAATAGATTTCAAGGTTTCAATCTACATGTGCATCCGTAAAATCTATGTAACCAGCTGTGCTGAAGTAAACCAAAGTGTATTCATTTACAATAAAACAGTTGAGCACTTCAAGTCAGAGTCCCCTGACTGCAGATACAAATCATACACCTTGTTCATACCTGCACTAGGCAGAGGACATCAAATATGTAGTAGAAAGCTAGGATGCTGTTGTTCACAGCCAGGAGACCACACAGCCAGGCGGAAGTAGCAACCAGTAACAGTAGGAAGGCATTGCGAATGGTAGCACTGGAGAGAGAAACAGAGAGGGCAGAAAGGTCAGAATCGGATTTACCGAGTTGAGTCTGTGTGACAAACCCTCTGGCAGCTGTACTGGACCACTGCAGTTCTTTGGTAATTAAAGAGTGATTGGAAATGACAGCCAGCACAAAAAATAGATGGGAAATAAAAAAAAAAAAAACAGCATCAACACGAGAAGTGCTGAGGCAAAGAAAGACAGACAGCACAGAGCTAGAATGATTTTCTTTTGCCATGTATGCCCATATGATTGGATCAATAACAAGCCATGACATAATCACCTGTCTATCAAATCAGCATTGACTGAATGAGGAAATGCAGTTATATTTCATCTGTTCCCTGTTAGTCCATCAGTCACAAACCATTTATCAAAACAACACTCTCTATTGTTTTGTGATGCTTGTATTTTCTGTTTGTTATATACTTTTTACTTACTTTATATATACTGCTCAAAAAAATAAAGGGAACACAACATAAGACATCCTAGATCTGAATGAATGAAATATTCTTATTAAATACCTTGTTCATTACATAGTTGAATGTCTTATTTTTCCTTGTGTTCCTTTTATTTTTTTGAGCAGTGTGTTTTGTTGAGGTTCTTAGTTACTTTTTGTGTATTGATGGTATAAAGTACCTGGGTTTTCATTCTGGTTCAGCTTTACTGTCATTATACAATGCAGAAATGCTAATTAAAATGCAGTTGTGGCCCCTACTGGATAAACATAAATATAGTGTGCTAGACGCTTATTACATAGAGTATTTTACTGTGGTAACGCTTCAGGTTCCCTGAGTTGGACAAGTAAAAAACAGAATTCTGGTGTCTTTAGAGAAATTAGTCACCAGAGCATCCTTATACGGTGCCCTCTGAAGCCTTAAAGAATGCATAACCTGAGCGAGCCTGAGGAGGCCAAAATGCAAAACATGTTGCACACATATTTCTACCCACATTTTAATCCAAAACATGAGAAGTGCAGTAATAAAAGACTGTAAGCTTAAAAAACATGATGGAAAATAGTTCATCAAGTCACTTTTGGAAAGCGAGGCAAGTCATGTTAACCTGGGTGAACAGGTAAATTGTAAATATAACCCCTGTATATGTCAGTCTAGAAAGTTCTTTTGCCATAATGTATATATACAATACATACATTTATTTATAAATGCTGTCTCTCTTTTCCTTTCATTCTTTTCCTATTTTTGATTGCATGCATTTCCTATTTGAATAAACACACTGTTTATTTCTCTTTTCTTTTAATTCTCATTATTTTCTATTTCCCGCTGCCTTACAACACACCGAGAGCCTCTGTACCAGTGTCCGATTCCTGTATGTTCAAACAGATTTGGACATTGAAGATGGCTCTGATTCTGAGGTACTCACATGACAGGGAGCTTCTTGGTCTCCTTCTGAGACGGGATGCAGGACATCTTGGCTACAATCATGAAAATCCCTCCATTTATCTGGGTAATGAGAGATCAATACAAACAAGCTCAGGTACCTGTTTTAATGCCTTTCAGCTAATCCAATACTGGCCTTAGTGACATTGTGGATAAACAGATGAACCACAATCAGTGTGAATAAAACAGTCATCTACAAGGGAAATGGGTACTACATTATATCAGACAGACATGGGGACTGTTACCAGAATGACAATGGCAACAGGACCAGCAAAGCTCCAGATGAGTTTGTCATAGATGGAGATCCAACAGAAGTCTGGGTTTCCATAACCCTCTGGGTCCAAGCCTACCGCCAGGCCTGCAACAAAGAGCCACTCAGTCAGATCAGACAAATGATCTACTCTAGGACCTCTTCTACCATCAATCACAAAGAGACAGCAGTCAAGAAAAAGGCCAGAGAGGTAGTAAAGTATGTGACAACACGACAGAGGCACGAACGGTCAGACATAACAGACCCCAATTTATGTCAGGAAGTAATATTTTTCATCATTAATATGAATTAAAAATCATTTTAGGTGACAAATCATCATCACGTGAATCAACATCTTTCAGGTATTATATCTGTCATGTGCCAGACGATGTTGCCAGGAGATTTTTGATGTGATGTGTTTCTATTCGCTGTGTAACCTTGTTTGACAACAATGCCAATGTTTTAACAGCCATGGGCATAAAGAATTTTTAAATTGAATTGCAAAAATAAGACAGGCAGGAAACTTCTAAATAAAGATGGGCAGAAAAAATAAACACCTCTGAGCCTGAGGAAGGAGATGTACAGTCAGTTTGTGTGTGTGTCAGACTGGAGACAGAGCCATTCTTGAGGCAAGGAGAGACAGCAGGCAGTGTGTGTGTGTGTGTGAGAGAGAGACAGAAACACCAACAGATAGAGGGGGTTGATAGCATTTACAGGTTCATATGGAAACTGCAAATGAATGTGCATGTGCGTGTGTGTGCATAAAAGAAGGAGCAAGAGAAGCAGTTGACAGGTTGTGTATGACTTGTTTACAGTATGTGTCAAGGAATCAATTTCTTGTGCGTGTGTGTTTGTGCTTTGCTATCGCTATATTAAAATGTCACTGAAACATGTTTAATATAAGTGTCAACAGGACACCTTATCTACGCACCCAGAAAATGTGTGATGTGTGTGTCTGTGCATATTTGACAGAGCGTTGTCATGAAAGTGTGGACAGTGTTTTAACTTTCTGAGTACATGTGGAACCAAAGACATGTTTCCAACAAATGTCACAGAAATCTTATGTGTCATTTGTGTGTGAATGTGTCAGCATGTTACCTGTGATGATGGCGGGCACACCCCAGCCGATGGCATAGTAGAACCTCATGGCCCCGTAGTTGATGTTGCGTTGCTCGGTCTGCATGCGGTAGATATGAAGGCCCTCCACAAACATCCAAGCAAACGTGGACATAAAAAAGTAATGCAGCAGGATGGCAACGACTGTACACAGGAACTGGAGGGAGAGACAAAAAAAGTAATTTACTGCAAGGAGGGAAGGAACATAAGGAAGTGGAGGAGGATGGATCAAGGAGAAGGGAAGGGCTAAAAAGTGGAGAAGAAGGAAGAAGAGGCAATAAAAATGCGATGAAAAGAAGGTGAGAGATAAAAAAACTATAACCCTTCATATCGATTTTGTGACAGTTGTGGAGCAGACGTCTTAGCAGGAAACCAACAAGTCTTTATTTCAGCACAGCAGGTGTCGGCAATGGAGTAGCATGTTTTTATGATTTAATTACCAACATAATGAACACAGTTTAAAGCAGTATATCTCCAGGAAATACACAAAATAACTGACACAAATGTAAATTAATGTTGTTACTGTGCTGAATTATAGTAATAACACCCAAGAGCGCCTTCTTAACTGCAACACCCTTAGGTACAGCTGTGAATGCCATTGGTAGAGGAAGGTATACATTGTAAAAACTGCCTTCACAGCTATGTGGTTTTCATAGCTGTAATAGTTAGCTGTACTGATGCACACTCAGAACTTTGGCTTTACTGCTGTAGTTGTGATGCGGCATGAATGCTGAGTGCTATGAGATGTAATCTGCTAAAACATGCTACAACATTCAGTCAAATATCATCAGGAATGAAGCCAATACTTTTGGTCAGGGTAGGAGAACCTCCAAATCGCTTTATCAGGTATGTGCTGATGTTTGGTTTGACAATGACTTCCCCATAACTGATGCAGAACATTAGCATTTAAGCTTTCATGGAAATTACCGTCATACTGCATTGAGGAATGTGTGGAGTAGTTTATTTAGACTGTGGAGTCTTTGGTCTGTTTTGTTTCTCTGGCCAAATGAGAATGATGCCATTCAAACTCAAGCGGCTTTCAATTACAGCACCTGTACATCTGAAAGTGCAGCTTCTAAGAAAGCTGTGGTCAGGAGTCCAAACAAAATCTAAACCAACCACAGGAAAAACTGACAGTGTGTGTGAGTCCATGTGAGTCATGTTGTTGTGTCTACAGGTTGGATACACTTAATTAGACATGATGACCTAAAACAATTAATTTTAAAAATGCATTAAATGAAACTTTTCCATTTTAGTTTGTACCAAAAACAAACAAAACAAACATTAATCCACCGTCACTAAGCTGATAAAGCACCTAAAAAATAAACTGCAACTGTAGAATGTAAATGTAAATATGCCTCTGTCTCTACTCTCACGGGCTTTGATGAAAAAGGAGAAATTTGACAGCTGAGTACTCTACATATATAAATTAAGGTAAGCAAACCTGTAAGTTCCTGATTTTAAGGGTAAAAGAGACTCAATAAAAATTTTGAATGACACAATGAGAAAACAGAAACATCAGCAGCCTTAGCAATAAAACATCGTGGTGATATAGTTCATACTCCCATACACAAGAATACAAACACTACAAGTTACACACAAAAAGATAGAAACACTAAAATATGCACAAACATGTAAACACTAGTGTGCACACCAACACATGACCCCTGCGAGCACTAACACGCTCTCCCAAGCCTGCTGTACACAAATTATAGGACATATTGTTCAGTTAAAAGTAAGGGGCCACACTAGGAGTCGTAGAGTTTCGCTGACTGTGTGGGGGATGAAGTTTAATTAATGGATTTCATGCTGAGTGAGCACATTAACAAAAGAAAAAGGGCAGCGGATGAAGAAACAGGAATTATTCAACAAGAGAAGAAGAAGAAGACAAAGTAAAAGAAAGAGCAAAAACCGTGTCATGTAGAGAGGCATAAACCGAGCAGGAAGGAGAAGCAGACGGCAAATAGTTCTGGAGAATAACATTGTCTCCAACCAGCTTGAAAGAACAAACATTTTATGATATTGCTTTGGAAAATTACTAAATATATCTAGAGTTGCAGCTGCGAGGGAGGATACATTCCTTTCTAAAGTATAGGTGAAGGCAAGTTTTCCACTAATATTCACAATTCGGAGGTAGGTACAGGTTGAAATCTGATAATCATGAAGCTAAAGGCATCACAGAACAAACAGGGCTGTGGAAATACAAGCACACAAACCACCACCAGAATCTTACCTGTTGTTCAGTTTGATTGACCCCCAGCAGAAATACCAGCTCTGACAAAAACATGGCCGCTGCTGTGTTTGAGTGGATGCTCCTGGTGTTGGACTTGAGACCTCGGAGGCAGGAGAGCACCAGGACAGTGAGGAGGAGCGCCAGCATAGAGACGCACAGAGAGGAGTATGTGACCAAAGCCAGCGTCTCCAGATCCCCCTCCAGCTGCTGCTCATAGAAAGACATGGGGATAAGGGGAAACAGTGAAGACAAGATAGAGAAGGTGTTACTGGATTTTTATTCTTTTGGTAGGAGCAGAGGAAAGGAAAGGCGAGAAATAAGTGAAAAGTGGGAAGTCAAATGAAGAGAAAATAAAAGAGAACACAAAATGCTATCTGGACTAGCTACAGAAATCAAGAAAAATATAATTAAACCTTTCTGCTCTGTCAGGGGAAACCAGTCTCAAAGCACTTCATCCCTGCCTGTGTCTGCACAGAAAGCATTTACTACTGTAAACATAACTGGACACCCATACAACATCTCAAATGAATGGAACATTTTATTGAAGAGCTTAAATCGATGTAAACCATTTGGAGAAATGTATAACTTTAAACTCAACACAGTGCATAAGGTTTCCGATTCCACGCACTTCCTGTCTTTCTCTCTGACAACGTCAAGATATGACACATCATCACTTAGTGTGCTGCGGTGCAAGAAGTAGGGGGTTTGCATTAAACTGTGAAAATCTTTTACGGCTGTAACAAGGCTTCCTTTGGACCTCTAAATGTCAGTCGGGATTTTAGTCTTTAGGATTTCAAATTTTTACACAGACTAAATCCAGGGATTACACGCTAAGACTTTACAATAAAAAAAAAAAAGGAAAACTGGCACTGTGGTGTAAACAGGTGGGTACGCATGCACAGCTGGATCACTGATAGGACCTCATTATGCTAGAGGCATAAAAATGAAATATGTGGTTCATATGAGCATGTTTCTACTGACAGATCACTAACCTCTCTCTGTGAACTGTCCATCAGCACGCCAAAGGTACCCAGCCTCTGGCACTGACAGCGGACATGGGAGGTGTTCCTGTACACCACCACACAGTCCTTCACCGTCCAACAACCTCCTACCTCATATCTGCAGAGAGAAAGAAACAAAGTGGGTTAATAATGAAAAGTCAATTCTGAAAAGGGTGAATAGTCTGCAGAACCGAAGGCACGAAGATACTAATTGTATCTCATGTGCAAAATGTAAACTGATAACTTTATATGTCTCTGTCTAGAAGCTCATAGATTATAAGAGGACTTAAAACTGAATTTAAGTTGGATCAATAGCATCTATATAGTGTGAGGCACCACAAGATAAGTGACAATAACCCCGTCATAACATACTTTATCTGTGTATATGCGTGCATGTGTAGCAATGTATGAAGTGTATGCGTTAATCTGTACTCACGGACTGCTGTGGTTCCACTGCACGCACAGTGGCTTACTGCGATTGGCTGTCTCCAGCAGCTTGAACTCAAGCAGGATGGGCTGGTCTAAGTGTCCACCCACAAACGTCTGGTTGTTGTAGACAGAGATGGTGACCACTGGGGAGTTCATTACCGGGTGTCTGGGAAGCCTGGAAGACAGAAGGAGCAGAGGCACAGTACCAGATCAGGTACAAAGCAGAGTCTGGCATCCTGGTCAGGATGTGAAAACAAGGCAAAGACAAGATGAACAGAGAAGACGTTGAGCAATAAATAACTGTTTATTGACACCTAAGGAAAACCAAACAGTTTGTTACTTGCTAATTAAGCCCAGAGGTGAGTTGAGGAAGAGAAGAGGGGTAGAGGAATGGGAGGAGAGGAGGGGGGAAAGCAGGCAATGCTAGTGAGAGACCTGATGCCAGGTCAGGTGATTGTGGAATTAGTGCTGAGGCAGTTACTCTGTTAACCTACTAGACAACTGACAGAAAGTTAATTGACTTCCATGTTGACCATTATGGTTTAAGTGATCACTGTCATTTAACAAGCAAACATGCCAAACATCCTCTAGTCTCCGGCTTCGCCACTGTGAGGACTTGCTACATTTTTGCCTGTTTCAAATCAATAGTCTGAAATCAATCTGAAGATGTCAGCTTAGCCTCTAGGAAAGTGAAGGCCATTGTTTTTTCTTTACATGTTATAAACTAAACAATTAATGGCATTTATATTTTTTTTATTTGATAAAAATCCTGGTTAAATTTATTATAAACATATTATAAACATAGACACTACTGAGAATAATGTTTTTCTAATGATGTTAAACTCCTGTTATATAAAAGCAATTTTGGTTTAAAAAACATGTGGGTAATCTAGGTTTCTATATCCAGCCCGCCTGCTTCCTTGGAGGGCTCCGAGGGCTGCTATAATCAGATTTGTACTGATCGGAGTGTGAGTGAGTCCCACCTCACTCCTCGTCGGTCTGTGTGGTACTTGGAAGGGAGGGCTGCGCCCAGACTTCTGTAGATCAGCAGGATGACAATAGTGATGGGCGGCTCAGGCATCGAGGCAGTGCGTTTGGCTGCAGTGTATTCTCCCGTTTGATTGGCTGAGATACTGGCAGGGGCCGAAGCAGTGTTCTGAGGGGCTGAGGAAGAAATGGAGAAGTCTATGTGAGTATATTCTAAGCGCTTCAACCACTTACTCTCTCAAGCCTTTAATTTTCTATATTCTTACACTCTCTGCCTGTCCGTTCCTTCTCCTTCCAGTTGTGCTGCTGCTGTCGCTGTGGCACCAGGGCAGCAGGAGGCAGTATCACATGAGTATAGGGATCCCACAAAGCCTGACCACGAAACAGGGTGGCGTGATAACGTGGGAAACGCCGCCGTACATGGGTATGGTTCTCCACGCGGTCCAGATTCATGACTGACAAAACACACAGAGAAATAAATACACATGGCACACTTATTTTGCAACTACCATGGTGAGACAATGGTTGAAGTAAGTTACAGACTATAACATAACACTGGTAGCATTAGCAGCATGTCTAACCACATTTGCTTGCTGTAGTTCATCCTGTTGTAAGATACCCTCCTCTATTCCAACAGCCTCAGTCACTGATCCATATTTGAAGATATATGACTAGCTATTATTGTACTAGATAGTCATATCTGAGCACTTTATTATATTAACAAATATAAAATCCTTATTTGAACAGATGGACAATTGGCTGTCCCTTTTTATTGTAATAATAATACTGCCTCAATATTAATGTGATAATGACTTACTGGGACTAAATCTGCAGCTTTGACAGCACATTTGAAACCTCAAAAATCAACAAATAATAAAAATTTATACCATGATCAATTCTGTATCAACACTTAAAAAAATAAAAAACAGGTTCAAAGCTACACAAACTAGAAAGTGGTTTTTCATCTTTCAGCTCAACATTTTACTCAAATTCAGATTAGTAAGTGTGAGTAGCACATGTTTCTTCTTCTTAACTCTAAACAACAACAAATCATTTTCCTTTTTTACAGTACATACGGCTTAAGGGGAATCCTGAACTGGTTGTATCAATTCATTCTGTGCAGATTTGGGAGTGTGAAGACCCAAACAAAATCCATAAACACAGGCACACTAAAGCCAAGGTGGTGAATGAATGAACCGGTGACTGGAAAGTACACAGTCAATGTGGAGCGTTCAATAATGAGTGAACACTTGACCCAACAAACAGAAGTGGATCAGCACTCAGTGCAGAGAGAGAAGAGGAACAACTCAATATAACTGAAGTGTATAATGCATGTCTGTGTGTGCGCCTGTGTGTTTGTGTTCACCTGCTGGTGTTTTAAAAGTGAAATGACAATTTTGATGGAAAAACAAATTGCTTATTTGGAAAATAAAATTGAAAATGTCATTCCAAAGACTGACATCAGCAACGAAAAAGAGAGTGCATATATTGAAAGGTAACAGATGGGTGTCCATCCATAGTCTTTCCCATGTTATTCATCCTATCCTTTCGGGCTGGCAGCATTAACTGTCTGTGTTTGTCTGTGTAGGAGTGTGAAATGCTGCTTCCATTGCTGCGGAGTCTTTGCTCTCTGCCTGGGAATCTGCACCAGGCTATCTATTTCAGGTTATTTAACAGCATTGTGGATGATTTCCAAAGAGGGAGCAAATACAGTTAAGTACACGAAGCCAATGCCTGTTGGCCAGTACAGGCAAAGCTATTTCACATTTCTTAAAGTCTGATTTAAGCTGTGTTGCCAAACTACATTGGAAGAACTGGAGCTGGTAACTTTGTTGACCTTTATGAGTTTTAGGTGTATGTTATTTTATAGGAATTCAATCTGTGTGTGTAGCTAAGTGCATTAACTGAGTGTGAAATTCACCATCTGGATTCATCCATATCAGAGCTGCTGCCGTTGCTACTTCAGCAGCCCTTGTTGTTGTATGTGCTACAGATAAAGGATGCACTGATAGCACTTTTTTCAGACCAATTACTTATATTTGAGAACTTAGTGATACCAAGTACCAATATAAGTACTTAATAATAATGCAGTGTTTCTACTATAAATTAAATTAAATTACCATAAAAATATTTGGAGAGAGTTTTTATTTTCATGAGATTTATTTTCTGATTATGATTTGATAAAATATAAGAGAAGGCTGTGCAAATTTGAAAACTTTGTGATAAACATAGCACTGCCACATTTCTTCTGAATATAACGTGTAACTGAGTGAAGGTCTGTAGACTACTACATAACATACAGTTGTACAGCTGCTATACAGTGCTTTTTATCCTTTATAAGAGTGTAACCCTCTGTTAAGACAAAATTATTTTACAACCCCCCCACCCAGAATGCCAAGTTTAGGAGTGCATATTATCACAGTCAGCAATTCACAACTATTTACTGCAGTCAGCATAACGAGCACCGTGTGGGTATAACAGGTGAATGGAAGTTAATGTAATGATGCCGTTAAGTGTTATCTCTGTGTAATATTGGAGGGTGGTATTGAACCTGATACTGGTATCTGTAAATCCTTAGTACATATTATTGAAGTCTTTTCATTTCTTCTGAAGTGACATAAGAAAGTGGAAAAGAGCAAAATATGCAAGTGATAGAAATCCAGAAACTAAATGACAGAGGGTACATGGCCAAACCTGAAAGGACTGTGTGTGTGTCTGAGAGTCATTTAACCCACTTTTTATTAACACTAAATACTAAAACAATTAAATTAAAATGTTTTTCATTAGTTTTATAAGCCTAGGTCTTCTGCAAAGTAATACTATAATCCATCAGTGTGTGTACGCCTGGGTGTATATGTCTGTTTGTCGGCATGTGTGTATGTGTGTGTTTGGCTGGCATCTCTAAATCTAAATGATGTACGGTATGCTGGCCAGTACTACAGCGCTTCAGGGCGTGCATGTGTTGGAAGCATTAGCTGCCATGTGTGTGGGAGTGTGAAATTCATCTTTCTGCGCTGCTGTGCCATCATCATTTGCATTAGTGCTGCTCATATCCCACTTTACAATGAGTCATTCTAGCTGATTTCACAGCATTTATTTACAGTATTATATGAAATGCTCTCTTATTCTCTTTTATTGGGTCTGTTTGGTGACTAGCTACTGTGAGCATCTGTGACTGTGTGTCATCTTTCAGAGCTCACCTATGTTGGGGGCGACCAGCGCCACAGGGTTGAGGTACGTGAGCTTCATGTTCTGGGCCAGATTCTTGGCGTACTGCTCCAGGAGCTCCGTCAGCTCGGCTGGACCGCCACCTGGAATGTGGTTCTGACTCTGAGTGAGAGCGCGCCAAAGCCCAGAGGTACCAGGACCCAACAGCACGCTGCAGCCTCGCAGAATGTTCTGGATGAAACAGAAAGAAAAATTGTTAGTAACGATACAGCGGGAATTGGACAGTGAAGCTAATTAATACAAGGAGGAAGTGGGAATCATCTTTTTAGAAAGGCCAGCGATTACATGTGCTATACAAGTATTTGAGTCAACAGGAAAGAAATGACAGAAAGAATAACACATATGTCAAAGGACATTATGATTATGAGAAGATGGAAAGAGGAAATTGATTGAAAGGACCTGTGATGTGCCACTGGCTCAGAGCCTACCACAGGGCCAGAGTTTGCTTTTCCAGACTTAATAAAGGATCAAGCCATGCACACAGTCAACAAAAGCAAACAATATTCGAAATTGAAGAGGGGAGAAAAGGGAAGAAGTAAGCTGATATCAAGCCTGGCATGGGGCCATAGAACAGCTCATAAAGTAATGCACTGCAGCCTCGTAAAATGCTCTGAGTGCAGACAGTAAAGCCTAATAGAGGGAGCAGCAAAGGGAGAAAAACACAACTTAAGTTTATGCCTGGTTGAGGAGAGGAAGAATTATCGCAAAGCTTCTTGTCTGGTTGCTTTGGCCAGGACTAAAAGAAAACCTGATCTAAGTCAAAAAATAAAAAGAAAAACACCAAAACACCCAAACAATCTCAGCTTTTCATGGAGTATTTGTGATTCTGGATGGATGACTATTATAAATTGTCTGGACTACACACTAGCCCTTAAAAATGTTCTGAACAAACAGAGAATAACACTACAGATGAAGACAGAGAAAATGTGAGATGTGCGAGAGTCAGAGAGAGAGAGAGAGAGAGAGAGAGGAAAAGTGATCAATATGATTCCTCACAGTCAGACTGCACCAGCCCCAATAAAGCACTGCAGTCTCCCATAATGCTCAGGGGGAAAAATACGCAAAAAAACGTTCAGACAAACAAGGTAAAGAAGTTCTCAGGGGGAAAAATACGCAAGAAAACGTTCAGACAAACAAGGTAAAGAATATACAGTGCAGCACACGGCAAAAGGGGGTGAACTGTAGACATGTAAAGGAAGAGAGAAGCAGGAACAGGGAGTATGGATAAGTAGGGGACAAGGACACAGAAGCTTGATGCTTGGCTCTGAGATGCAAGAGACGGAGAAATGTGAACGGTTGTGGTGAGATGGAAATTAGGACTGAAAATTTGTAGTTTGAGTTTTCAGTGTTTATTTTCTACTCTGAGTTTTTACTAATTATTTTGTGAGATGACCTTTGTGGTGACCTCATATGGACAAAAAAATGGGTCTCACTTGTTGATTAGTAATTAGGAGCCACTGTGGTAAACGGTGATACAGTTTGTGTATGAGGATTGTCCCATGAAAAACACTGCAGGCGCTCATATAACTTGTGAATGTTTGCCAAAGAAAATGGGTGAAAATAACAAAGACTAACAAAAGGAGCCAGATGAAAAGACTTTAAAAAAGGAAGCAGGTGTCAGGGGTCACATGCAAAAGGCTGAAATAGGGGCAGGTTGGATGACAGGTTGCAGGGAACATAATACTACATGGATCAACAAACTGATTACACGTGCCTCTCAAGCAGCAGCATCTTGTCATATCCAGACTTTTTGGAACAAATAGTTATTCCACATTAGGTTTAGAAATGTTCAGCTTTCCCCTCTTTTCCACACATCTTTTTACACAGTAGAAACTCCTCTCAGACAAGCATTTCTGTCATTTAATACTCAATACTCACCGAAGTACAAAAACTACTGCTTATGTTGAAATACCACCATATCATACATTTTGTCTTGTGCTCCATCTCCTGCCTTCGACAGTCACCTTTCCTTCAATACTCCCTTTGAGCAGGTCTCAACGCCATAATGAATATCACATGGTTTTTTTTTACTTATACATAAAAATATTTGCCACACTTTTTGCTGTGTATTTGATAAGACTGGATTTGATCACAGCTTGAGCAGAAAAAGTTTTCATCTTCCTCCATTCAGTTCTAGATTTCAGATGTGACAACTCGCCTTCCTTAGTTTCTTCTGAAGCCATGTTGCTCCACTACTGCTGTGTTGCTATAGTAACTGTATTCTACATTACCTGTTCATTTGGCCTGATATCCGCTGTTTACAGCGAGGTGTCAAGTAGTACCAGATGTATTATATATATATTTTTTGTTATGAAAAAATGGGCTGTCTTTAGTGCTGCCAAGGTAAACAGGGCCGTTTCATTAACTCCTGATGATGGGATGGAAGTGGCATTACTGCTTTAGACCCAGAGGTTGATGGTGTAAGTCAGGCCAGATGAGGTTTTGGTTCCAGAAACTGCAAGATGACAAAAATCAATACTGAGCTACTGTGGAAACATATGCTCCTGTGAACCTGCTAATCAAATGTCAAAGCCCAGTGGTGATGATTTACTGTCAGGTGAAGTAGCTAAGCAAAATGGCAGGATGAGGTTGCCATGTCATTAATGCTACTGCTGTGTTGTCATAGCAACTGTCCTTGTTAGCCACACATCGCGTACATGTACTGATCATATGAAGCAATGTACTACATCTGTGATGCTTTTGAGTGCTCCAACAAGATTGGTTACACAGTATATTAGATTTTATTTAATGAGTCAGTCCCTCACAGATGCTGTTAATAAGAAGAGGGAGGAATGTGGTCATTCAGTTAAAGAACCACACAGCAATCACATGTGGAAACAATCAAAACCTCCAGTGTGTTAGCATGCCTTGTCTTGTGTTCACAGTTCTGTAATTGGTGCAGCAGTGTCTATTATATCACACACTTGTGAGGGCTTTTAATTTAATTGTCCACCTCAGAGGGGAAAGTGTGCTCTACTCCAAATCGCTCACTAAATTTAGAGCACAGAAATGTGATGACTATAGCCAATGCTGTAAACAAGGAAGTGTTCTTAAATTTTATGTAGAAACACCACAGAGACAAAGTGAAAGTGACTAACTATTAATGCAGGCACATCTTATGAGATGTCTTTAATTCTGGGAGTTTACAAATAAAATATGTGTACACTTGCTACCACGAGCGCTCATTTTCTATAGTAAAGCCAGTTTCCCACACATAGACTTTACTGGGTGAGCTGCCCATGTATAAAATGTGCTAAATCTTATTTCATTATAGAGCTGTGCATCCATGTCTTTGCTCTTCTTCAGCTACATAAATGAGCTGAAAACAACACCTCAATTAAAAAAAAAATCAGGTATACCATTTCCATGATGGTTGAAAAGTTGGGAATTTTATCAAAATCTAATATTAAAAATCTCTTCAAGGATGTATATGTACACAGGATTATGAGAATGGGATGTTAGATTCACATCACTATTATCATAGTGAAAAGCAATTTGTCAGTCACTCACACACGTGCCAGTAAATTGAAACGGGGGTGGGGGTTGCTTAATCTTGAACCACTTACAGGTGATATATGAAAAACTCATTTCCTGTCAGCTAAATGTGATGTATTGGCCAAATATTTATAGAAAATTTGGATGGAGATGTCTATTTGCACCTTTTTGTCAAATCTCCAATGTGCTAAACTGATTTTCTGTCAGTTCCAGCATCCTTAGCTGAAGGTGGATTAGGTTAAATGAGACACTGGCAGTTCTTACTGTATGCGGAGATGACACGCTGCAATATTGCAATATTTCATGAGCTACTGCATTGCCATAGCAACATTACCTCCAGTTTCAGACAAAAGACATCTTGTCATCTGAGAGCAATTCAACAATTCAGCCACATTTGCAAACCAAATCTAATAGAGCTATATAGAAAAATGCCTGACAAAAACTAAAGACAACTAGTTCACCCATTTTGCATGTAATGACATCATGAACTAATGTCTAAATGCTCTGGGAGGTCAGACTATTTGACAGAGAACTACAGTATATAATATGTTTTGATCAACATGACATCAGCAACTGATAATCTAGGAAACAGCAGAAAGTTGTACATAACCATTTGCATGAAATTGCCAAAAACTTTAAAGCAATTTATTAAAAACAATAAGAAATTGCCTAAATGATGTGCACAGGTGACTGGATGATGTGGAGGCTGCACAAGTACTTTTGAGAATTTCATTTCTGATCCAAGAAATGTATGAAAGCGACTGAGAAAAACTGATATAGAATGTGTATCTGGTTTAGTCCTTAAAATCCTACATTAGTTATTGATACAGCATATGTATAATGATTTATGATGGTACACTAAAAGATCAGAACAACTTTGAAAAAAGCATTGACAACCTGGCACAACAGTCATGAACTGTATAGTGTTTCTAATCTGTCTCTCTCACACTGGTGGAAGTGTTTCCCCTAGTGTTTCCTAAAATTAAAAAGTAAGTGAATGAATCCAGCTGCCTCCTGTGAGAAATGCTGCTGTCCATTCCTTTCCCAAAGGTGACTTTTGGATTTGAACACAAAGATTAATCATAAAAACCAATAAACCGCCCTTGTTCGTCACACATATGTCTCCATTAGTTTCACCATAGGCCACTGCAAGAAACTCTAAAGGTTTTATCTGCATACCTGCAGCCACCCGCTCCTCATGGTGCTCACCCATCTGCTGAAATGTGTAAATAAATGTAAAACACACATTTTGCGTGCTTTCAAATTGTGAGTGAAAAAGAAATCTGAAGATTTTTCTTTTTTACCTCATTGAAGTGTGCATCCTGAGTTGCGGTGAGTCCAAAGCCATTCTGTTGGGTCTCAAAAGTCAGAAGGCGTGACAGCAGTCGTTCAGCAATCTGTAAGTCATTGCCATAGAGTCGGGCGGTTGCCTCGGTGACATCGCGGAGTTGATGGGCAAGCTTCTTCTCCATGATGGTGTTCAGCTCGGTCTCATTACGCTCCAGAGAATCAAGCTAAACGTACAGATGCCAAGAGAGCATGAAAACTTAAACAAACCCTCATTTTACACATACAGTATTTAAGAATTACTGGGATTTACACAATAGCGTTAAAATATGTATGGCGACAGTGCAATATATCTACAAAGAGGTACTGTACCTCTAGTCTATTAAAAGTTGATGACACATAAAATACCTGCACATCTGCATGAAAACAGCAAATCTGGAATTATGCCATAAATGTTAACCACTCTTCTGGACTTTGTTTGGTTCTTTCCCTTTTATTAATTGAAAAGTGCATCTTAAATTGGCCAGTGTTCAGCACTTTGCAGGTCAGGTATAAGTAAAGCTATGTATTTAATGGTATTAGTGGTATTATTCTACATACAGCAGCACTGAGTTCAACAAATGGAGGGGAGGTGCAGTTGTAAAGGTCTGGCTCCAGCCATCCTCTCTCTTCATCACAGTGTCTGATGGCTGCACCTGCAAAAACAAGAAGCAGGAAATTCTACAAATCTCCAACATTTTTTCATGACCATGGCGTATATGAATTAAAATAAAATAGGCTGTGTGTGAGTGTGGCTACAGACCGACTGAACCTTTGGGGCAGGGCACTGCAGCAGGCAGGTTGAACTTGGTCCGAGGCCACCAGATCCCCTGAGTGATGGTTTTTGGACAACCGTCATAAATGACTGCAGAGAGAGAACATCAGGTATAAGTATCCCTATCAATTCAACAAATTTTCAACTAAAAACAGGACAAAAAGCCACTAATGATGTAAAAATGCTTTTCTTTGACTTGCATAGAAGAAAATGAAGAGAAGAAAACACAGTGTCAATGAACCATGAAATAGCTGCAAGATGGCAACACATTTCATTTTTACACCATAAACATAAAGTTGTTGGTTGAACAACTCATTTCCCACAAATGATTCAGTCCCCCAAGTCAATTAAAACTTTAGCATCAGTTATTCTGGACAGTACACAGCGCCACAGTGAGAGGATTCATTTAGCCTGTTGAATAAACAGTAATTCTAAAATGCAACAATGAGAAATGTCTAAAACAAAAGCAGTACACTAATAAACCAACAGTCACGCACAAGTTCATAGTCCTCTGTTTGTGACCAACCAAGCGTAATTTAAAGGAAAACAAAAATGCTGAAAAAAGAAAAGAACTGAGAAACATTTGTGTGTCCTTCTCACCTTCACATCCTGAATTTGTGACCTCGGCAAAGGGGTTGTCACACATGTTGCACTGGCGACCAATAACGCCGGGCCTGCACTGACACTGCCCCGTTTCTGGGTCGCATGACCGTGAAAAGGAGCCCACTGGATAGCAGTCACATGGCAGGCAGGCGTCAGAGCCCCGTGGATGATAGTGAAATTCCTGAATACACACACAGATTATAAAAAGGTTTGACACATAGGTCAAAATCCATCAGACAAATCTAAAATGCCACAGCACCAAGAATAATGCCAGCGATTACATGACCACATGAAATAGGACAAGATTTATACTGTGAGCACTGGTATAACCAGAGATGTGAGCAGAACAACAATCTAGTCACAGTGTGTAAAAGAACTAGAAATACAGGAGGTCAGTTAGTTACTTAGTTTGCTAAACTTGCATCAGAATACATATGAAACACTGGAAAAAAAAAAAAAGATACCGTTACAATAGAGGATGATGGAACAGGAAAGCCTGCAATTACCAAACATAACAAATTATCTCTGACAGCACTGTCGGCGTTGAGTGTTCCATTTTACAAGGAATCTGCTGCTGCTTACAGGAGGAACTGTGTTTATGGAACAAGTGTTTCTATCACAGTAAATTTTATTATGATCATGGTTTTATTATGATCATTAAGTTCATTTCTACATATCAAATATTTGTCTCATTTACAGCAGTTATGTTCGTGGGTCAATTTGACCCGCAACATAACAGGAGGGTTAAAAAGAATACTATTCTTCTTGGACTGCAGGTGATTATATTTAACTAATTAATAGCAAATAAACGCAATTGCAAAAAAACAGCTTAAGAAGTACACTATACTGTGATAGTGGACACAGAGGTGTGAGCCGTGGGCTGGCTGGTATGTAGCGTGCATAGGTTTAATGAAAACATTCTTACATTGCATGCTCCAACAATCTTCATTTTTAAGAAAATTAAGAACAAGAAGCCACAGAGTAGTAGACATAATGTGTTTAAGTACTTTCTTCAAGGGCAGAAGCAGGGAAGACTATTTCTTTATGTTGTTCTGCACTTACATTTTCAGTGGCTACTGAGCCAAAAACCTCCAAATCTAACCTCTGGGTTCCTGGTGCAGGTGTAAAAATACCAGATGGAGGCTGTGCATACTCACATCAATGAAAATCCCCCATGTGTGTATTTTATGTGACACACTCACAGTGTGTGTGTCAGGTGTAGATCTGAGGTGAATATCAGAGTTGAAAGATTAAAATTAGCAAAGTGTAAATATAATCTCTATAAATGGACAATTTTCCCATCATGGTTGGTATAGTTTGCATGAATTAGCCTATCAGACCATCAGACTGTGGAATAATTACTGTGCAGTATTAGTGTTAATAAAAAATTTGCATCATACCGTCGGGTCTAAAACCCTTCACACCAAGTGGCCCAAACCTGAACTGTGTACAGTGTGTTTGTGTGTTTCCTGTTTACCTTGCAGTGACAGTGTCCACTGGTCTTGTTACAGTCAGGGTCGAAGCCTTTATTGGTGTCACAGTGACACGGCCCACAGGTCGGAGACCCCCACCAGCCCCGTGGACACTGGTGATCAATCCTTCACAGACACACACAGGCAGGTAGAATCAGTAAGGCTCGCTAACACGTACAAAAATCATGATGAAGTAAATGTAAAGTTATATGGACCTTACAGGGAGGAGGAGGAAGGAAGTGCTGGGTCAGGGTAGGGTCACACAGAAAGACACACACAAATAACTTGTGAGTGTGAATTTACATTACACTCATCCCACAGTGGATTACATGCAGTGAACACACAGTGAACAGAGCTTAGCTGGGTGACAGGCAGCATCAAATAGCTTTACACTGCTATTAGCATCTCACAGGTAAAATGTAGTTCAGACAGTGAGTGCTTCTAATTGTGCCTCTGTATGTGTGTGTGTGTGTGTGTGTGTGTGTGTGTGAGTACCTATGTTGGCAGTACTGCCCATAGTGGTTGTCTCCACAGTCACAGATATATCCATGAGAAAAACTGGGCTTCCTGTGGCACTGAGCCTCATTTTCACATGGATTCAGATGGCAAGCATCAGTGCAGCCCTTCCCATAGTAACCTGGGGGGGGGGGGGGGGGGGAAATCAGAGAGTAAAGAACTAATTTCCCAAGGCTTTGGATGCTATAGGTTGGAATGGATTTGTGCAGCTGCTGCCATCCAAAGAAACATGTTCAGCAAAATATACAACTTTGTTTCCTAAAGTGAAGCTCAGAAAGAACAAATGTGCTGGAAAAAACATGGAAGAACTACGGACTTACGATTTCCAGTCCAATAAATGAGCATAGGTCATGGAGTGAGACGCCACCGTTAGGGTACTGTAAATATTACAAATATCCAGTCTAATAAGTGGCACATTCACTGACATTAACATTAATCAGTTGCAGCCTTAGCATGTTTTGGATCATTCTTGTCCATAACATGAATTTTCAGCGCTGTGGCTGTGAATGAGAGCACGTTGTGGGTACAATCAGTGTGTACAAAACAAAGGAACACAATCAGGTGGTGCCAAAGAAAAGTCACTGTACTAAAAGTTTAAACACCTCTCTGCCATTATAGCACAGACTTTTGCCTCAGTAGATTAAACGACAGCACACTGCTAAACGAGTGACTTCAACACACTCAGAATAAATGTGATTTAATTTAATATGATAAAGGATCACTGAAAAGAAAATGTAGGTATGCTGTGACAAAACACTCATGTCAATTTTCATATTTATCGATACTCATCATATGAAAAACAAAAAAACAATGCAATCTTTGCAGCAAGATATTTCATTTTGGCCAAAGCATCACCTGGATGACTCTGACCTCCTCACCAACAAAAACCTCTGCCTCACACACAATTATCTCCCCTCCGTCATCAAACAAGTCCTGCTTTCAGGCTGCCTTTAACAGCTTTGAAATGAAAGATGTCTTTACAGATTGAAGTGTGACTTAAGTGTGTGTGAGTGCTTGCTGAGGTCTGTGTTCCTCCCTCAGGAAGTGACAAACGTGTGAGGTCTGCTTTCACATTTTCGTCTATAGAAAACAGAGAACGCTCTGCATTCAAGCCTGTGGCCTTGGCTGCAGCTTAAGACACACACAAGCGAGTCCCAGTGAGTCAGTCCCAGTCTTTTCAGTCTCTTCCTCTCTCCCCAGCTTATTCCAATTTGAATGCTAGTAAAAGCCCACACACAGTCTGAAAAAAAACATACTGACCTTGCTTGCTTCCCTCCACCTCCTCCACTTTTTTCATTTCATCTACCTTACTCTCATTTTCTCTTGCTTGAAAATATTCCAGGAATACAAACAAAAGAATAAAGCTAATCCCAGCTGTTGTTCATTTTCAAATTTTTTGTTTCATATTTTACAGAAAACACAAACACAGGTATTATGTCTCTTATTTGTTCATGATCCATCATTCCAGTGTTGTAGTTAAGTCACTAAACCTCAAGCCCGAGATGTGTTTCGGGTCCCCAGTGTCCGAGTCAAGCCTGAGTCACCAAAGAATAATCCAAGTCGACTCCAAGTTGAGATCGAGTCGATTCTAAGTCAAGTCCCCATTACCTGAGTCACAGTCATCAAGGTCTATAATATAGACTCTATATTAAACACAAGTGACCCAGCTCTCACCATCTTATATTCAAAGCTTTCTAACAGCATATTGTATCAACATATTTCTCGGTGATTTGATATATAAAAGCATTTACAGAAAGGCAGAGTGCACACTTTAATGAAAGTGCGTCAGACACAGCATGCTGCGGGTGAACAGGCTTTATTATCAGTATCTTAGGCCAAATTATTATGGCCTATTACAAATAAATACTCTGAGTCCTCATTCTTGAGTACTATAACACTGCATCATTCTCCATCTCCAACACTATTGGTTTCCACCTCTGTCACTCTCTCTCAAACACACACGCAAACACATGCACTCAATCATCTTTTCTTAGCCCTACACATCTTTACACTTTCACCATGGCAACTGGCAGAGAGGCGACAGCGGCCTTGGCTGTTTTCAGACACTTTTAATGACACTGGCCTTGCAAGAATATGAGAGAGACAGAAGCTTGAGCTTGTAAGAACAAAGAGTTGCAAATTGTATGTGTATGTGTGTGTGTGTGTTTGTCTTTCACAGTCAGGGTCCAGCAGCTTGTTAGAAAAAGTTACAGCTCTCGAGCTGTACACACATAAGGTGTGACTCACAGCTTCTTGTCTGGCCTTAGACACTTTACTGTAACACAACATCAACTTGAGTTCTCCACAGGATTACAATGAGGGAAAAGACAGATGAGTCATCTGTCTGCTGAATCATCCGTTCACCCTCTGTGTATCTGACTGTCTTTCTGTCGGTGGAAAGACTGTGGATGTCAAAACAATCCAAACAGAATGGCAGCACTGAACACTGAATCAAATGTCTACAGAATGTGTGCAAAAGTCTGTGCAGCTTTATTTAGCTTTTTGGCCCTTGTACACATGATTCTGTTTATTGTCACAGTTACTGTCTCACCACTTTCATCAAACTCATTTCCAGCAGCAGCCCAAATGCAGTTAAGAAATGGAACAACTAGCTGCTACAGTAAGTAGGCAGTTATCTTCCTCAGGAGTGTGTTGAAGAAAACAATCAATCTGTCAAAGTTTCTATTTCAATTTGTATGTTGGACCAAATGTAAGACAGAGGGAGATGATGGAGGAAACAGAGCCTTATTATTAAACAGATGAAGACTATGGCAAAGGCTGAGGTATAGAGCATGGCATCAAACATAATGTGGCTTAACACAAAATATACCTGGAGAAACTAGGGTGCCTGAGAGGAATCCTGACCAGATGCGTCAACCACCTCATCTGGTTCCTTCTGATATGAAGGAGCAGTGGCTCTACTCTGAGCTCCCATCCTAAAGTCCAAACCATGCACCTTATCTCTAAGGCCATACCCACACAGCCACCAAGCACAAATAATTTCTGTTGCTTGTATTTGCAGTCTCATTCTTTAAAGAGCCCATGGCATGCTTTTCCTTGTTTTTTGACTTGTCTACAACGTTACAACGGTGAATTTTAAGTCACTTTAAGTCACCGCCTGAAGCTAATGAGCATAGCCGAGGGCTTAAACGTACAGACGAGTGACAAGTTAAAGAAAGAACCTGCAAACTGCAAACAAATTAAATAAACAATCACCTACTGTAGGTTAGAACACATCAAATACAGCTTAAAATTTCTCCATCTCTCTCCCAGAAGGACATTAGCCTAATGGTCAAAGGTCAAGGTGCTGTAGCTGTACACCAAGCCCCAAAATAACTTAATTTCTGACAGACTCAAGCTGTGGAAATATTTACCTGGCATTTGTCAATCACTAATTTAACACTGGAAAACAAAAAAAAAATAAAGAGAGATAAATGGCTCATTACCACAGTAAAACCAGTTATGACATTTGTGGTTTCGAAAAACTTTGAACATATGTTTTCTGTGTATGATCGTGTTGGTTTTTAAACAGCTCAGGGAAGTCAAGCAGACATAAATCAGCATGGCTGTAATTTGTCTTGCTGAATTCGATTTTTCACCGCAGTTGATTCCCCTGTAGCAACTGTCACGTGCACACACACAGAGACAAATACATAATGTATCCTTACTCAGAGACACACACTGAGGAGAGCAGATGTCTCTGTGCTTTGTCATGCAGAGCTTTGACTCAGTGTGTGTCTGTGTGTACTTGTATGATTCATGCTGTGGGGACATGAATGTGTTCACACAGACACAATGTGGAGACTCGTCTTCCTTTTAGGGACAAAAAGCAAATCCCCATTATGTAAATCACTCAGTTTTAGGGTGAAGGTTTTTTAGGCTTAGATTAGGAAAACGGTTAAGATTAGGTAAACAATGATTGTGGTTAAGGTTGGTGTCCAGTAATGAATGTTCAGTATGTCTGTATAATGTCCTCTGGAGATAGGGACACACAATTCTGTATATGTACTAGTCTGAGTGTATATACACCTCTCTTCCCCAATTTTTGGATCTATTTTATTTTATTTTATTGCACTGCGAGGACATTGTGGCTGGTCCTCACAACCATAATGAGCCATGTGAGGGTGAATACTTGGTTTTTCAGTCAAGGTTAGAATTAGGTTACAATTCTAACCTGTGTGTATAGAAACACAAGCATGTGTGTGTGTTTCTAGGACAGTGTATAAATCAGGGGCACTGTCAGTTGAGAGACTCATTAGCAGCATTTCAGTTCCAGGCCAAAACACACACACACAACACACATGAAAGGGAATTATTCAGAGCTCTCCCCTTTCCTTTTTGCTTTCTCTACTTCTATCAAACTTTGATTTGTCTCTAAGCAGCATTCATTGTAGCACAGTCTCCATTTTTAATGCTCGTTGTGCTGATGAAATAAATGATAATGAAAGCCAAAGTGTGCATGTTTACAGTAAATAAGTACACGCAATGTGCGTGCGTGTGTGCGTGTCTATGTGTGAAGGCACCTGTGTGTGTTTCCTCTCTGTATTTGTGCTCCATGTTAATAAGTCAAGGTGTTCGCATTAGCCGTGGGCTGGTGCGGGATGCTACAGGGGCAGCAGCGTCCCTCTGCTTCCTCTCCCATTCTGGCAGCCCTGAGGCTCTCTACATCCTCCATGTAACACACACACTTTCGCCCACTCCTCTTTCACTCCTTCCACCTCTGCTTTAATGGCATGCTCTTATTTTCCAGCTTTCTTTCTTGAACAACTTCCCTCCATGCAAGTATGACTGAGTCAACTTTGGCCCTGTCTTACCTTTGATGCATATCACAAGTCACAGACTCTCATTTGAATAAAAAAATAAATAAAGAACATGCACAAAGTCAACGGTAAAGTAAATTTAGCTTTTTGCACTTATAATACAGTGTTACCTCCAGTTTTCTACAGACACAGCAATGAAACATTATCAAAGATTTTGCATATATTAACCGCACATTATTATGCATTTGATGAAGTAGAAACATTTGTAACAAGTAAACCACCAACCAACCAGTAGAAATCTTTCAATGTATTAACCAGAAAAGGCAGCTTAGCTGCAGAGAAGAAAGGTTGATTGACACTGAGGAAGAGAAAATCAATATCCTCAAAACCTAATGTGATAAAGTGGACCAGCCACGTTCTCCCTCTCCCTCCCTCTCTCAGTTCTGACTTTCATGAGTTGCTTTTTCTCTTAATTTGCTATGTAATCTTGTCTTTCCTTTAATCACAAATATAAATAATCATTAATCATCTCTGCCTGAGTGTAAGCTGCTACTAAAGCTCCAACTCAATATTAAAGACCACACTTCATCCTCTCCTGCATTTTCACACTTCTTTTTCCATTGTATGTGCAGCTGTCATGTGAATGTTCATTCACTTCCATGATTTGTGTGTCTCTGTGTACATACAGTACATGCCAGTGGTGCATGGATCTAGAGTTTTCTGGCTGTTTGATTTGACTCTTTCTTGTCTTTTTTCCAGTTGCTTTAAAACTTTGTGTTTATTTTACACTATTTCTGTCACCAGCCTCTGTCTCCTCATTAATCATTAGCATTTTTTGGCTCTCTTCCTCTTCTCTTTCTCTTTACGCTTCTCTTTATGCTCTACATTTCCCCACTTTCTCCTCCTACTTCTCCACTCTTCTCTTTCTCTTTTAATCTGTTTTCCCTCCCCATTAATTCTGCCTCATTATATTCACCTGACTAAGGATATTTGGTAACGTGGCCTGCAGCCAGTCTCTTTCTCTCAGTCTCAGGCAGGTGAGAACTCATTATACATTCCCAAATATCTGTTTAACCCAGTTAGAGCATTGGCAGATGCCTACACAGATGCCGTATGTCCATATTATAACCATTCCCCTTTTCTCTCTATCGTTTACATCCAACATCCAGAGTATGAAAAATATTAGGACCATTTTCCTGGCACTGATGTTAGCATACGTAAAATATCATTTGCATGAATGAAGTAAAAATTTGCTGTTGGCTGTGTCACCTGGCCAGTTTATTTAATGTAGTCACTGGCAAAGTCAAAACAATGAAACACAACAGATTAGCAGACATGTTAACTGTTCTATGCCCTGAAATCTGTTGATAAATTGTTTATCTTATAAAACATCATTCACAAGATTATTCAAGATCATTCACACCATAATTATGGAATATCGTTTTATCCAAATAATTGTTAAAAACTCAAAAAATGTTTAATTGACATCATGAAACAGGGACAAGCAGCAAATTCTCACAGTTTACTTACCAGAATGTTTCTAATGATCTAAACTCTAAACTGTGGATCTTAATGATTGTGGATTCATTTTTGTTTGAGTGACATATCAATTAATTCATTGTTAACACTAACTAATCAGTTAAGCAATTTCCCATGAATCCTGTGCTTTTAATTGGTATAATCAGTAAAGGAACCCTGCTTTGCCAAAGTTAAATAGCTTATAAACATTAGTTAATTTGAAACTGTCTTGTTTTTTAACTTTCTCTCTTGCATCTTAACAAAGTGCTTTAAAGTTTTGCTTCCCATTCACCTATTCACCCACACACTCACAAATCAGTGATGGCAGAGCTGCCATGCAAGGTGCCGACCTCATCAAGGAGCAACTTGGGGTTCAGATTCTTGTCCAAGGACATTTTGACACCTTGACAGGAGGTGACAGGGGTTGAACTGTCAACCCTATGACTGGTAGACGACCCACTGAGCTACAGCCACAGCCACAGTACTGCTGCTATTTTGTTTAACCTCTTAATTTACATTTCAACCTCTTTGTGTCTCTGGATCTCAAAACCCAAGACACAGAGCTGATGTCCTGCTGAGATGACTTGTTTGTAACAAGGTATGTAGCAAACAATGCCAGGGAGACACCCTCTGTGCTCTCTCATTGTGCACATGTTCTAACAGAATCAGCAACAGCTGGAGCAACCGTGCAACTTTTCTTCTTGTTTGCCAAGTAACTTGTGCATCCTGACAATGTTATGCCATCCTTACACTTAAACTCTGTGACTAATGACACATTATCTTTAGATGACAGAGGGTGTCAGACTTTAGTCTTTTAAAAGTTCTTTTGAGTCTTATCATAGTCTTCTAGTGTAAGGCCAGCTTATTAATTTGCTGTGCAGATATACTATAACCCATCACTTTTTCTTGGACCAAAAGTCAGTCTGACCCCCTCTGTCAAACTATTTCCACACTGGAGAGCCTCATGCAATCACATCCAGTTCCCCACAGGAACCAAATATGTCTTTCCCCCTTCCTCAGCAACATTTTCAACAACATCTCTCTGTTTACTCACCAGGCTCACAGATACAGCTGTGCCGCTCCCATTGGTCAAAACAGTGACTGTGGGCAGGACAAGGAGACGAGACACAAGGGTTTCCAACATTGCAGCCGATCTCCACTTTCACAGCTTTTGATGGGTGGGGCAGAGGAGGGGCATCAGGCCGTACACCCAACCGAACACCCTATAGAAGAAGATGAAGTGGTGTTTATATTAAAGATAGTTTTGAGAATCTGACAGCTTCATTTATTTACTGAAATCAGTCCATCTCTTACATGCTAATATTTCTAGCTTCCCTCCACTCATCCATCAGTAAACATTATATATTCAGTCCATCCATCCTTACCTGTATGCATCCTCTTATTCCATTCTGTACCTCTCCAGAGCCCAGCACTCCTCCCACGTGCAGATGTTTCACCTTCAAACCATGAATCTCATTTCCCACTATCACTGTTCCCTAATGGAAGAGAGAGAGAGAGTGAGAGAAGGAGGTGGGGGCAGACAGATTTAGGAAGGTCACTGATTATTATTTTTAACAGCTAACTGGACTTCTGGACAAAAATACACAAGGTGCACATCTGTATACCATCATTTGAAAATGTAAAAGAACTATTATTGCTATTATTAAATTAATGTATTTAATATGAAAATATCAAGGTAGTCAAAAACGTACAGTTGAAAAAAGAGTCAAAGAGACAAAGATTGTCTGCTATGATGTCTTTGTGCAGAAACATAATGAGGATCATTTTTATTAGTTTACATTATGAAAGTAATACAAGCAAGAAAGAGTACTCAAAAAAAGACAAAAATGCATTTCTGGAAACTGTATTCATTTTCCTTCCAAACTGGAAGTCACAACTCTTCCTAATTTTATTTGCCACGGAATATCAGATCATTATGTGGCTTATGTCCGTTGAAGGGAGGGGAAGAGAATATGATCAGCTGGGAAAATGGCTTTATAGCTGCACTGACTTTATTAAATAGAAAGACAATAATAACATGCAAGCACTGGCAAGAAGGTCAGTGCTCAACTGATAACACTGACACGCTGTTCACAGCAACATGAAAACCAAATCAATGAGCCCATTTATTGCTGTTTCAACAGCAGTGGAAGATGATAAATGAGGTCTGCACACAGGGCAAACGATTTCAGAAGACAATTAATGATTAACAGGTAGCTACAATATTTACAAATTTCATATTTATGAATGTTTTTTGCACCTTTTACTTGGTTACTCAATGCACTTGAGTAAAATAAAATGAAATAAAAAGATAAAAGACAACTTGCTGCAGATACCTTTAGAATTAAACCCAACAGATTACAGAAAATAGGACCAGTGCGTGTTTTGGAGACACTGAAACTGTCTGTTCCTATTTCTAATTTTTAATTTTGAATGGTTAATTAAGGTGATGAATCTGTTGTGGGTAGTGTTGGGGAAAAGGACACCAGGAAAATCATTAACTAAAATGTTGCTACACTTTGTTTAATGTTTTGTGTCTGTTTTGTTGGAGGATTGACTGTGTCCTAAAAACCTTCTCTTCAAGGTTTGTGTCACATCTATTACCTGATAGAGTCCAAAGTCAAGTCGCAGCGTGGCGACATAGCGAGTCTCACGGCCACTGTGAACGTCTCTCAGCTCCAGCTGGAGGTCGTGCCACTGTCCGTCTGCCACTTGAACCTGATCCAACCGCAAACGCACCGGTCTGGTTGAACCGCGGGTCACCGAGAACACCAGCTGACCATTTACCACCTGAGAGAGATGGAGGGACACAGCACACACATGGTGAAATAGCAGAAAAAAGAAAATGGGAGGAAAAGAGGAAGAGTGAAGAAATGTGAGTCACTGAAATCACTAAAGGAATAAAATAACCTTAGTGGAAAAGAGACAGAGGTTTGTGATTGTGCGGGAGTGTGAAAGCCAACATCTTGGCTGCACTCCTGCTAGGATGCAGCCATCTTTGGATGTAGCATTAGAAACTGAATCTATACATAATTTTAGCAGCATTTCCCATTGTGTACCACCTAATGAGATTGGACTTACAATGTGCAGGACTGAATTAAAGCACAATAACAATTTCTTTACAAAACAACAATGAGGTGTTGCCATTTGTTTTGGATAAATGGAACTAAAGCTTCTGGCAGAATGCAGGTAGCAGGGGGAAAAGCATAGCTATGTTTATCCTCTTCAGCAGAGCCAAGAAAAAAACATCACCAGCAAAAACCTCTTTCAGAGCAGGAGTCAGTGGGTTTATAGGAAATATGGCTTTGTTATCAGAAGCATTAGTGTTCCTAGTGTGAGTCAAAAATCAACCACAGTCTCATTTGCGAATATACAAGATCGCAGTGAATTTTTCTGGAATATACTAATGTTCAACTACACTGCAGCAGTCATACTCATACAGCCACTCGGTCCTGACTCACACACCCCCCACACCTGTCTTCTGTTGTTTATCCCTCTTTGAACGGTTGCCTTTTGCTCAGTGCCAAATTATCTGATGTGATTTCTGTGTAGCTCTTAAGTTTGTTATTTGCCTCAGTTTTCTAGCCCACTGCGCTTTCTAGTAATCCTAAGTTATTTCTCCTCATGTTAAATTCTGTTTGGGTTTTGAACTCTGCCTGACCCCAAAATTTGGATATACTGCTCGGCCCACACTGATTTCATGTCTCTGGACTCAATTGCCTCTGGTTGCTTGGTTTTCTCAGCTTGCAGTGACTGTAAGCACTAGCTTTGTCTTTGCAAAAATAAACTGCTCAACCTTGCTGTGCAGTTACCGGTGTCAAGGCAAAATTTCTGATGTTAGTATTACCCCTTCATATTTTAAATACGTATAATTAAAACCATGGTCAATTACCGTGCTTTGAAAAACTCCCCTGCTAAAGAGTTAAATACTGTCCAGGAGGAAGTGTGGGCAATTTTGGTCCCGAGGGAGACTTAATTGAAGATGGGTATCAAGTCTTTAGAACATGCAAAAAAAAGACTGCTGTAAAAGGAGGCAACACCGCAAATCTTTTTAGTCATATTAATGGCCATCACCCTCTACTGTAAGTGAACTTATGCACACACAATGCATAGTGATGCTAATAATTATTTCTGGTTTTCAAAATAAAACCTTAAATGAATCATTTCCTTTAGTCTAAGTACTTTTTGAAAATATTTTCAAGACATTTTAACGGTACTGTAATAATATTTTTAACCATGATCATTTTGGCTACTATAAATCATGATATTAAATTTTCATATTGTTACATCTCTATTTCCAGCCTTAGCCGTTTCCATGAGAAATGTGACAAGTATAGACATTAACGTAAATGAATGATTGTATCAGTGTGTGTGCATGCGCACCTGAAACAGAAGGCTGGTGTACTGGCCGGCCTGGGCCTGCAGCAGCATCCCCTCTCGCGCTCTGGTTCTGAACACTAGTCCGAGGTACCAGGGTGTGGAGATGGTGATGTCATTCTTCAGGTCCCACCAGAGGGCGCTGTTACCCAGGAAGCGGTGAGGGTGTGGCATCACTGACGCGAAGAAAATTAGCAAAAGGTGAATACAAGCAGAGGTTGAAATATCTCGAACAGCCTCAGGATGTCACTTTTATTTATCAAGTTCTGAAGCGATTTTTGTGAATTGATAATTTTGAGAAATTAGATGACGTGTTTATCAAATTTATTTTACAGCCCCCCCACGACCCTATTCAGGAATAAATGGTATAGATAATGGATAGATGGATGATTTTTTCCAAGGTTTGACTATCTGTGCTTACAATGGAGATGTAAAACTCTCCTCTTGAATCGCCCTGGGATACAGAATGTTCATTTACATTTAGGAAATCGCTTAGGGTTTACCTAAGCCCTATAATATACAGGGAATATTAACTGCATCCACTTTTCCCTCACTTGTGTCCAAGTACTGCTGAAGGTGAGATGTAACAAAAAAATGCAAGGAAAGAGGAATCGAGGAAACACGTTTTGAGAAACATTACAAGCCTTTTCCTCCAAGTCTCCATCTGAAACATTCAATGACCAACTGATTTCCGGCATGTCAGTTGAAAAAAGGCATCTGCAAAGGATGGTCTCATGTATCCTTGCTCATGACTCCAACAGGGAGCCTCGTCAATCCTCACAGCAGATATAAGAGCTTTGGGACATGCTCGGTCCTCGCCTGACCTGGAGGTCGTTCCGGTTGAGTGAGGATTGAGGAGCGAGAATGATCAAATAGGGAACTGGGATTTGCTAGCTCACATGCTAAGTGCAGTATTCGTCTTAATGCGCTGTGCTGCAGTTTCCAGTAAATATCCTGAATGGAAGGGCCTCATCTATTTCCCAATTTTCCTTCTGTCAGTACCCTCACAGAGGTCAACAGTCACCCAACCACTGATGAAATGAAATGACATAGCATTTCTAAATCTGAGCTCCTACAAGGATCAGGCCATATTTCTGTATTGAATCAATGCATAAATGATAAAGAAACTACACGTTTAAATAGCATTGCAGCATTTACTAATAAATGAGATATTAGTATAATTTGCTCCAACAAATAAAGGCTACTGAATATCAGAGCATATTTTGCTACATTTTAAAAAACACAACCACTATCATCATCACTGGCACAACAGAACCTGAGTTATCGCACTCATAATCCCAGATGCTACTGGTAATCATACTGGAATGGCCCAATAAGGATGAAAATAAACTCATCCAGCCTCTCACCATGGCTGCAGTCCTTCCCTCCATACCCTAGGGGACAGTCACAGGAGAAAGTCTCCCAGCTCACCCTGCAGGTTCCTCCATTCTGGCATGGGTTGGACTTACAGAAGGGCAGCTTGGCGCTGCAGCCTATAGGATGCAAAAGGGATGTCAATAAAGCTTCCGATACGGTGCCACCAGATTGTTTGTCTCAGCAATGCAGGGATTAGCTAGTAAATGTGCAAACATAGTTTCAGCTCCATGAAAAGGTCTTCAGTTGCCCATGTGCATAATTAAAGGAAAACATTTCCAAATGCACTCTGCAGTAAAATTTCCAGATTCAAAAGGCCTTTACAGAAGCAACTCGTCTTGAAAGGCCACCCAATTTCATCATCAAGAAAACATTAAGTGTAACAGTGTGGCAGTTTTTGTTTGTTTTCAGTTCCAAAATAACACTTGTCATTGAAATATTACCTTAAAAGGCTGATGAGTCTATAAGAATAAGCAAAAATGGGATATTAAAATTTATTAAGCACTTGTAAATAGTTTCTCTAGATTGACAAATCTCATAATAATATAGAATAACTACATTATCGTGATGACTAACTGATTAAAGAACTAATTGCCAGATAATAATGTTTAAGATTATTGCAGGTTTATTTCATGTCACGGTCACATTTACTGTATGAAGTGGTTTATTGGTCACAATTCCTAAAGAGAGCCATTAACTGCAGCGATTTGTATCTAATAAAAATTTATTTTATTGATTTATTGATTTTATTCTTTCAAGCATGTAAAGATAGTCGATATGTCAACACACATATCCAAAATAGGGACCTTTGTGAAAATCCTAAATGTTACAAATGTTTCTTCATTATTGTTTTTAGAAAATCCAAATATGGTTAAGCAGTGCTGACCAGGGATAGTTCCATTGTTAGCGATAAATCCAGCCAGGTCCAGTGGCTTGTTGTCAATGTGCAGCTCCTTCATACAGCCAATAAACTCCCTGGAGCCAAATGGGAAATTGTCTGGTACGTTGGGGACTCCACCCAGAAACAACGGGCCAGTTAGGTCCAGAGACCTGGGACAAGAAAAGAGGGAGAAGAGTAAATAAGATTCAGGGGAAAAGGATCTCAGGAAGGAATGGATTATCCCTGAAGGATGGAGGAGAGGTGGGAGGAGGGGGCTGAAGTCAGGGAGGTAAGAAACGAGAAAAACATGAAAAGAGGGTAGGAAAGAGGCAAAGGGATTAAACAGCTGTTGAGAGTAAACGTGGAAATGAGAAGAGTTGAACTGAAAAAATGAGAAAGAAAAATGGACAGGCAGAGAGACCGATGAACAAACAAAAGAAAAGAAATAGAAGAAAAGAAAAGGTAAAAGAGGATGACACGGCAGAAGAAGAACAATGAGGCAGAAATGAAAGGAAGCAGTTGTTGGTGGTAAAGGTAATCACACACATGAAAATTAGAAAAATGTGAAAATACACCAATGACAAAAGGGAAACATGAAGGCAGCCAGGAAGGGAGATGAACAAACAAGAGATTAAGTGTTAGTTACAGCAAATACCGAGAGAGAGAGTGAGCGTAAAAGCAGACAATAAGATAGATGGAAAACAAGAAGAAGGAAGCAAACCAGGAACAAGAGGAGAAAGATGTTGATGACAGCAAATAACTGTTATGGGACTGCATGAGTGAGAAAAACAAAAAGATAGAAACTGATTGTGTCGCCATTCTGAGAGCATTATCTTGTTTTTTCTCCAATGTGAGTTGAGGTTTTCCTTTGTATCCTGTTTTGGCAACACAGGCAATGTGCCGAGCCAATAAACGCCAGTGGAATATAAAGTAAAGGAACTCAGAGAGACAAAAGGGACTGCAGTCGTACAAACAAGAGATCAAGCGCAACAACATCAGTGTCATTAGAGGAGGATGTCTAGACCAAGTTAGAGGACAGTGAGCCATTAATGGAGAAATGGAGAAGGAATATGAGAAGAGAAGTGCTCAAGCATTAAGTCTTTGCCCTTCCTGTTTGATCTGTCTTCTTCTCTCGGCTTTACTTAGCACTGACAAGACACAGGCAACATGATTAGAGCTTACAGTCATTAACACAATGACAGGCAGCTTCTTTAGTGTGGATATACGCTCTGTGTTTTATAAAATCTGTGGTAAACATGTAGACACACATGGTGGCGCAGTGATTAGTGCCGTCGCCTCGCAGCAAGAAGGTTGTGTAGCCACAATTTGAATGTTTTAGATGTACATATAGTAATATAATGTGTGAGAGAAATGAAAAAATGAACATCAACACTAGGCAGAATAAGTCAACATATAACAAGGCTATCAGAGAGATGCAAACAAACATGAGCATGAAGATGTCTAACAGGTGTGCATCACTAGAGGCACAGGTCCCCACAGATTTCCTCTACAGTGATCTTGTCACACTGACCTGATATTCCCTAAAACACCTTTTAGTACAGTCAAAGGTTTCACTGTATGTTAACAGATTAGACTGTTTACATCCGCATCACTTCATGTACTATACACACTGCTCATTTTCAAACAGTGATCATTTTACAAGCCTGTGAAATTCTGAACATGTGAATTTAATACTAGTTTTTAGGAAAATGGACCATTAAATGAACACAGACACTAAAATCTGATCAGAACATCCTGTGCTTAGTGTCATTACACAGTAACAAGAAACTGTCATGATATACTGTATGTCACTTTGGGGACCTGGAGCAGAAAAACCAAAATGTTTAAGAGCTTATCCTGAGATCTACATTGGATAAAGAGTGCATATAAATGTGCCTCTAAAAACAATTTTAACATTTTTCAGTAAGCTCCTATATAAACTACAATGAGGCATTAGCCAAAGCCAACATCTCATAATATGACTACACAGCAACATCTTAACCATTAGCTGAACACATGTTTTCTTAGTTGTTCCATTAGCTAATCATAAATGTCAGAGAAGGAACTATAACATGAACACCTTAATGGTTTAGATACAAACTGTACTGTAGTAGGAATGACATACTCATGGTTGTTCTATGTGAGATGATGCCAGTGCCATCAATATTCATATGACGGTATCACACTTAACACTGTTACGCTTTTTGTGCTACAGTACCTTCCCACTGTTTGATTATCTCAAAGCTGAGACAACAAGAGTGTAATAAGCCAAAAGTTTGAGAAGTAGGAGGTCATTTACATAAGAAATAGTTAATATGCTTTATTCATATGTTGATCTTGTGTGTGTAGTGTACTTAAACTGTGTAGTGACAAATTTCATTAGTGCCTCATTTAATGTTGCTTCTTGCTGACCGTAACTGTAATAACATTTTTTTAGACCAGGTAAATTAAATGATAACAATTTCAAAGACATATTCTTATTGTTGCTGTAATTTTTCAGATGTATGGGGCCTAAATTTGACCACCTTAAAAAAAACACATCTAGAAACAGAAAAAAAAGATGGAAGGCTGACAAGGAGAAACTCACTTCTTGGTGCTGGTCTGCTTGCCCTGTGCAGCGCAGCTGTAATTTCCGAGCTGTGTACCAAAGCGGAGTGACAAGGCTGTGTCACAGTCGTCGACGCTCACCACAGCAATCTTCTCATCTGATGGTCCCTGGGCTTCGCCACTCACGCTGCGCTTGGGCTGAACATATATGCAAGATTGAATACAAAGCCCGAAGAAACAGAAGACAAGAAGCACCATGACACCAGACAACATGCAAGCAACAGAACAGCTTTTTCTAAATCTAGAGTTCATCTCACTGCAGTCATACATTACACCAGGTAACAGATCCAACACATCCGACTAGTCATTATCTATACTGCTACTGTACGTTATGTTAGAAGGGGGAGATGGGGGCTGAGTTAGCAAGACAAGAAACATCAAGCACAGAATATGGGTAAGAAAACAGTGGTGTAAATAGAGAGACTCACTCACTCTTCACTTACTGTCTACTGGTGAAAAAAGACAGAAGGAGAAAAAGGAAAAAAGAAAGAAACAGAAGGACGTAGTATATGTGCACCCTGACACACTCATACTCACATAGCGTATAGCCGGCTGAGGAAAATGAAAGAATATGAAGAAAATTATAGGAGATGTGCAGTGAAAATGCATGAATAAAACGACAAGCAAACACCCATATAACAGCATGCAAACATAAACACTTCGATTTAATTCAAAGTGCTTTGTCGGTATGAATGATGAGAATCTATTCTACAGACGCATCAGAAGTAAAAGTTACCAACAGAACAGAAACACTTCAGGAGCTAACTTAAACCTCAGTTATGCAAAATTTAAGATCCAAATGTTCTAGGGCACAGGAACAAACTGAGAAATAAACCCACCTTGTTGTAGTAGTGGATGTGAACTGTATGCCAATTCCCGTCACTCACGCCGCCAGGCAAGAAGGGACTCACCTGAGTGGAGGATTCACCTGCAGGGAATGTGTCAAAACAAGCAGGCAACATATTAAGATAAAAAATATTTATCTAAACCAATTTATGTACAATACACAACACTTTAGTACCTCCCCACTTGAGACTTAACCATCTAAGGTTAATTATTTTGAGATTATAGAACATAAACTACTCCACACATCATTGGAGGATGCTGGGATTCACTTTGTCTGTCATGTAACCCCCCCACCCCCACTACGTCTAATTATAATCTCCTAATCCTAAAATTAAACCTTGAATCACCACCTCATGGTTCTATGCCTCTGCCAGTCAGTGACCTTGTCCTTTGGACACCAAAATCTAATTAGTTCATCATTGAGTCCAAATGGATGTTTGTATCAAATTTGAGGAATTTCCCTGAAGGTCTTCCTGAGATATTGTGTTCAAGAAAATTGGACAGATGGACGGAAAACCTGAAAACCCTGGGCCTCCGGCCACAGCTGTGGTCAGCACAGAGGCATATGAAGTTCTCTGAAGAAATGATACACAACTCTGACAGCTTTTCTTGTGGGACTATACTGTATGTCCTTATAACAATAAGACAGAAGCACACAAGCACCATCACACACAAACCGATACAGTACCTGTGGAATATTTGAGCACCACTTGTCCTTCTTGGACCTCCAAGGCAATGAAGTCATGTTTCTCATTGAAGCGTCCATTATAAAACAGGAGACCACTGTTCTCCATGGTGGCAAAACTACAAAATGCACACAGATCACATACAGACAAAAACAAATGTCAATAAAATTTAATAGACTAGTTCACTGAGGAATATACTAAATATGAGTATTATAATACTTCCACACAATATATTTTTATATTGTTGTCTCCTCAAAATATACAGATAACTTAAGACACATTCATACAGTTTCAGATAAGATCCTTAACTCTTGGCTTGCTTAAGGCAACATCCAACACAGTGAGTTGTGTATTCCTGTGTATTCCTGACTTCACATGCCAAAAAAACATCACTCACACCAGCTTAGCATAGAAGAACAAAAGGTATTCAAACTATACCACAGCATCCCACGCCATCCTGCTGTTCAGTTGTAGTTATATTTATGTATTAAAAAATACAAATTTAAATAATATAAATATATAATTAGGAATATTTCCTACACAAATATTATTAATGTAAGGATATACATTGTGCACTCATGTAAGTTGCCCGCCTAGGTCTCTCTCCCTTCAGTTCTGTTCCATGAGGATGTTTTGTCTAAAATATTATTCAATGGCTGACCTGTCTGCATGGATCCAACAGCATTGTGCCATCCTATCTTGTTGTAATGAATCTAACCTCTTCAAACCACCACAAATATCTGATAAAGGTGTAACCTTAATGGCAGATTAAATGGAGACTGAGAGGCAGAGTCAGTGAAGTAGAGATGAAGGAGCAAATAAATGCAAAACTTGAGATATACATTATATAAAATACTGTATATCTAAGTGTGAAGAACTGTATATGAAAAACAAAAAATAAAACAGTTTTTCTGGAAAACGCTAAATTATGTAGTGCAGGGGCTAGTGATCATTTTAAGCATAGTTGAAGGAATGAGATTTAAATAATAAACAACACCACTATCATTCACACCTATATTCATACCTATTCCCTCCTACACTGCACAGCCAGATTCCCCAGGTTACTTTCACTGCAAAAAACTTCAGCGTTTGAGTGAAAATGAACTTTTTTTTGCAGCGGAGAAATAAAATGCTGTAAGAGAAAGCGAGTGATGTGAATACTGATTAAGTCCTGTTTGGCCCTGATGTGGAAATCAGGCCAAGGAGTGTAGCTAGCAGCAAACAAGGTGCTAAATAAAACATTGGCATCAGGGGAACAAGGCTGACAGTCTGTCAGAGTAATGTGTATCTGTATTCAGACACTACGGAATTAGTCACATTGAGATAACATGAAAGCAACTTTACCCAGAAACAACAGGAGAAGAATCAATGTTTTAAATGACATGTAGTATTTTACTGTGTTGAAAGGTAAACTCTACTAACATTGTTCCCTAAAGCAAGACACCAGATGTGAATGTGTTTTGACTTTAACGTGGGGCAGTGCTGTAATAAACCACTGAGTATCTGTTCAACACCATCCCAGTGTTTCCTCAACTGACTGTAGTTGTTGAAAGGCTAAAGAACATTATCCCTTTTCTTATCCAAATTTTTCCATGAAAGGTATTGATTGATTGATTGATTGATTTATTCTTTCAAACATGCAGAACAGAACAGAACAATGAACAAATGACGTGAAGCTTCACACATCACTCTTCATTTCTCGACTCAGAAATGATAATCACCACTCAACTGGTGGCCACAAATCATTGGAATAAATCACACGTAGTGCCTGCAATGCATGGAAGGTCATTTGGCAAGAATACCATGGCCGCAACATCTCATAGCAACCACTCCATGGTGACCACATCAGCATAGCAACAACCTCATGGGTAATGTCCCCTTAGCAACCATCATTAGAATACACAACTCATGGCAACCATCCCTGGCTGACCACTCTTAAAGTCCACTTCAGATCTCCCATAGACATCAGCTCGGTATGACGAGAGGTGAAGGTGCAGCTTTTAGTGTGTCCTTTGTCGTGTTGTTCACCATTCAGACTCATATTGTGAAAAAATGAAAACCTGACTTTGTAAGTGATGTAAGCAATAATAAATAATATAATTTCTAAATAAATTTGTGTAGCTTTATTGGCATCGGGCATTGCAGATAACAATATCTGTGGGAAGAAGAGAGGTTTCATGTTCATGAGTTAAGATTTGACTTATTTCTTCAAAAGGAGTATTGACCCTTAAATATACCGTTCCCTGCCAGAATGTCCATTTCTATTATTGACCGTACTGTGTTTAAAAAATAAAAAAAAACAAGTCAACTAGCCGACTAAAGTTTAACAATAATTCTGCAAGTGGTGGGGAAATAAATGTTAATTATGTTTAAAGGTAAAACTTATTACTAACCAACAGTTAATAATATTTGCATTTCAACTATGAAGCTATTTACATTTCTCGGTTGTCTGGCTACAAGGTTATGTTATTCACACCATCTTCAACAACCTGATGGGACGTGGTGCGTTTAAAAGCCAATGGCTTAGGGTATTCAGAGGGTACAGAAACATTACTATAAACAGGCCATAGATTTCTACCCCTGCCATTCTGAATTTATCACACATTGCCCTCATTTCAGCTGCCAGCTCATGCTGAGATCTGACAATTTGCTCTCAGAAAAAGGAAAATACAAAAATGTGAAAATTATTATCCAGGATGACAAAGTGTTGTTCTAGGACATTGTACAATTTATCTCAATTTCCATGACTTTTCCATGACTGGAAAACTGCTTTAAAAGATGCCAGGTTTTCCAAGATGTGTGGGAACCCTGCACCCAGACATTAGAACACACAACAAACGTTAACGCTAAACAACCATATACAATACTAAACATAAAAACTATTATAGAGGACAAACAATACAAGGGGATGACCACTGACCTCTGCAGTAACATTAACTTTCATCTCAAAACAATAACTTCAGTTCAAAAGTTGTGTGTAAGCAATTCATTGTTTAAAAGGAACTGGGTATTTGAATTTAGATTTATGCCCTAATGCTCACAAAACGACAGCTTTTAGACCGGACTGGTAACTGGAAGTTCCGACCGCTTCAGAGGGAGCATGCAGTAACCAGAAATGCTGCATTTGTCCTTAGAAACTTTTCTGAAAAAGGATTGAGAGATGATAATAGAAGAGTGATAAGATGTAAGATGAGAGAAGTGAATGTGAGGAAGGGAAAGCAAAGGAGGTGTTACTGAAACAAACGAAACTGATGGATGAAGAAGGAGTGAGGGGAGACTGCGCTTCTCGCTGAAAAGAGTGGTGGAAGCAGCAGAGAGAGAAACCGTGAATAATAGGATCAATCTCTGAGATGGAGATGAAGTAAATAGATTAAAGCAAAGAGAGTAGAGGGTGTAAGAGGGAGTGAAGTGAGAATCAAAGAGGGGTGGTTATGGATATGTCTGGGTGAAGATGAATGAAGAGGAATGAGCGCTGAAAGATAGGGAGGGAAGAAGGCAGAGGAAATAGCAACAGTCAAAGCAAATATGACATTGCATTTGTCAGTATACAAACATTTACAGAAGAAGCAAAGACGAGAAGAAGATTAACCCAATTTGCTGTACTACTCACGTTAAAGAAATGGAGAGGTGAAATCTCTGTCTGAGGCCCCGGAACATGGCAAAGGATTTGGGGGGGAAGGAACGAGAAGTGACGGTGCAGTACGGACGCTCATAGCCTCCTGCGGGACACTCACAACGGAAACCCCCACCTGACAGCTCCCGACAGGTCCCTCCATTACGACACACACCTGGCACACATCTGCCCTGCCGCCGGTCAAACTCACACTGGTCACCTGGAGATTTAATGTGAAAAGAGGTCATCATCTTATTATTCTGTTGCAACAACAGTAAAAAAAAAAAAAACCCACAAAAACAGCAGAAAAACTAGCCACACATTTTCAGTTATTTTGATCCGGTTTTTATACATTCGTATAGAAATATTATTCACAATCACTGTTGCTTCAAGGACTTTCAACATGCTCAGACAGTTAAAAGCCTTAACAGGAGGGCTATGGAATCAAAAAAGCTACATTTTTTTCATGTCAACAGCTTAACTGAAGTGCTGAAGGTTTTCTTCTCTGCAGTATCAAGCAGTGAACTGCATTCACCAGACGCTTTAGGTGTAAATTAGTCCCTGATTAGTCAGTGGGAGCACCAGGGTGCTGATTCCTGAGGAGCTGTTTCACAAGACTAACCTCTACCATGGCCTCAAATTAACATAATAATACAAAAAGCATCAAAATTAGAACTGACAGTGATAAGACACAAACTATATAGTATTAGGAAGAATATGTGAGCAGGAGAGACAAGGGGAAAAAGTATTTTCCTGCCAACTGTGATTTTGTTACTTTAGAAATATGTGGAAAACAAAAAAACAACACAAACAAATCTGCAGACAAGAATAAACACAGGTTTGGCTGTCAGTCAAACAAGCGCCAGTCTGAAGTGTCTCAGGTGGCAGAAACACCCACGCAAAACACACACACATAGTTACACACATAAAAAGGTACACTATGTAGGAGTACGGGTTTACTCTGTCTTTTCAATTTTCACCTTTCCTTGAGCATAGTTGGACACACACACCGTCTGATATTTAGCAGCTGCGCACAAAAACACCCACACCTGGTGCCCTCCATATAACCAGAGCAGACAGGGTTTTAAACTAGCCTTAAGACAGAAAACTCCTTAAGGACCCACTTCAGATCCTGCTGACAGCTCCAAACACACACAGATTCAAACGCATATACACAGCAAGATAACAAATAAACAAAACAAAATGCATTGATATTAAAAATGGATGTTTGTGGCTTTTTTCTTCTCAAACAAAGGCAACCACACACAGACCTCCATGTTTCCCTTTTCTCCTTCTCTCTCTCTCTCTCTCTCTCTCTCACTCTCTCACACACACACACAGATCATTGCCCCTGCCCTGGAGGCTGTGGGGTTTGTGATGGTGCTGCTTTTAGATGCCAGAGTACCCACTGGCAGTCCTCACATCTTTACAGCCACACACACAAACACAGATGATGTGCTGCGGTTGTAAGTCAATAGACGCCTTCACCTTTCCTCATGTTTGTTAAGATACAAATATTGTCTGACACAAACAAAAGACACGGACCCACAGACAATCTGACACACACAGTCAAAACACAGCCACACACAGACACACACCTGAGGGCGAGTCATGACCACACAAACGCACATGTCACACTCAGAAAGACACTTAGTGAAAAGCTGTACAAGCAACCTGGCATGTTGGGTACATACTGAAAAACACAAACAGCACAACTCTCATCCAGTCACTCCCTTTTTCACTCAGTTTATTTGTTCATCCTGGTCTTCATCACTCCATTTCCACACACCACCTCCCCCCTCATGCCAACAGGCAGTCGACATCTGCCAGTTCTGGCTGACAAACATAGTCCTCGTCTCCACCCTGAGGACACACACACACACATAGAGAAAGCTACCCAGTCACACCCAGCTCAGCTAACAATAGCTCTAGGACATTCACATCTGTCTGTCCTTGTTTAGCCTTCTCTCATCCTCTCTCCCCTCTCACGTTAAACATAAACTTCTGTGTGAGCGCACACAACAGGGAACCAATTAAATGATGAAGCACATGTACACACACACACACACACACTCACCCAAACAAGCACAGCCCAATTTCCCTGTCTTTGTCTGTTGCACCCATTCAGCCATACAGTCCCTCTCATTAATATTAAAATAAATAAATAGACATTAATACTCATGAATTATGCGTGTGGTGACACACACATCTAGTAACAAAAAACACACAACAAATACACATTCTGATTCATTATGCACACTCTATTGAGCACAGGTTGACTGGCAGGAAATAAATTGATGATGGAATACACAAAAATACACACACACACACACACACACACACACACACCTTTGTTCCCACACACATTATCCAAATTAAAAACTGCAGATAATAAAACAACTCTCTCTCTCTTTCACACACACACTAATTAGAGGAAGTAAAGTGGAGTAGACATGCGCTCAGACTGACTCAACGACTGTTTATTCTCCTCTTTTGTCCAGCAGGTGTCAAGGTGTAGTCTGTTTATTCTTCTCTTTTGTCCAGCAGGTGTCAAGGTGTCTACTTCAGTGAGGCACTTACAAACACACACATACACACACAGAGTAGGACAAAGACCCGCTTTCAGTGTGTCCTTTCTCATGTTGTTCACCATTCAGACTCATATTGTGAAACAGCTGACATGATAACTAAATGAACAGTGAGTCTAATAGCCAAAAAATTCCAAACACAAACATGTCATGTACACAAACAGGTGGCTTTTAATGAACATAGCAGAATGGAAACGCACACATCCAGACACACAAGATACCACTTATGCACACATACACTCAAACAAAGACACCCAACCTCATTGTGCATGTATCCTACTGGTCAAAAGTAAAACGTAAGTTTTACCTGTTACTGTACTTGGATACAATTTTCAGATATTTGTACTTTATTGATTAGACTATAAAATGTCAGCAAATAGTGAGCAATCGCAAATCACAAGTTACCAAAGTCCAAGGTGGCTTCTTCACATTGGGCCACATTCACCAACCATTCTTAAGAACAAATTTGTTCACAAAACCCACTTACACTGTGGTTATTGGTAGCTTAGAATTGGGAAGCATATTAGTAATGTTTTTTTCTAATTTCTGTTCATTTCTGTAAGTGTCTTTGGGATATTTTGGCCAGTGTGTAAGTGTAGGCCACTTATGGAGCCTATGGCGCAGGCTCCAGCTAGAGTAAACGTAGAAGAAGTAATGTTAGGAACAAGAAGAAGCATTGTTGTGAAATTAACAACTACACCATAATTTGTTAAATGGAAGATCATAGTCAATCTTTTACACCAGAAAAAGGAAACCAGAGTGAATCCCCGCCGCCAAAAAAAACAAAGAAATGAAAAAATGAGATAGATGACAGCACAAGAGGAGGATACATTTTGGTGTGGCCTTTCCCAGATGGGAATCCTTGATGAAGGGCAGATGTTTCCATAATGACTCCAAAGTTGCTTGTTTTCTGCTAGACAGGTCATTTAGCCTAGAAAATAAAGTTAACCTAAGTTTTTGTTTGTTAGTATTAGCTAGAACGTGGCCAGTGCTGGGTAGCCCACTGTAGTCAAGTGAGCCACTGTTATCTTTTGTTTGGTCAAGTCAGCCACATTTTTTTTCCAAGTGCGCGCTCTGGTCGACATTTACAGTAACCGCTGTGAGGGCTGTTTAACACAATGTATTAGAGTTTTGCTGAACGTTGCAATTAGCAACCTCACCACTACGGTAGACATCAATAAACTTCACACACTGGAATTAAAAGTTAAAATTGATTTGTTATGTGACATTTTAACATTGTGGTGTTGCTGCTTTTGTTTAGGTGAGGGACAAACATTTTTTTACCACTTACACACCAACACCTTGTGGATATACAAAATCTAAAACGCACACCACCCACCTCACACAAACTTAAACACAACCTCTGAAGTCTGAGAAGTTCTTTTCCGCTTTCACGTTGCCTTTATTGTTTAAAAGTAGAGTACTGTTTGCTATCCAGCCCCTCCATCCTTGTTCCCTTCTTCCTGTCTTCCTTCCAGCTCACATCTCTACATATGGAACACTCTGCAGTTCCTTTCTCCTTCCTCTCGTCATCTCATTTCTTTTTTCTTTTCTTCTTCTGTCTGACTTAATGCATTCACACCACCCCTTCATTCATGCAGATGTTTTATTCATCAAAGCCAGTATTCGTCAACCACCCCCGGCATCTTAATTTGCTCCGCCCTACCCTCCACCCCATCACCCCCTCCTCCGCCCTAACACATGGTACATCCCTAGAGGCCACTACGCTCCCAGTTGCTTCCCTCTTGTTCTTCCTCTTGCTTTGCCTCTGTAAAAGTCTCGCTCTTGCTCACTTTCTTTGATGCTCTGTACACCCCCTCAGGAAGTGGGTGCCTTCAGGGGCTCTTCTGATTTTAAGTCTGAGTGGATGTGTAATGAGTCAGAAATCCGATATAGTGAAGTAGTAATTTGTCATTTCTTCACAAAAATCGATGTTTTTCTACTCTCTCCTCAAATGAAACCATATTGTATTGAAGCTTTTGAATGTGTTAAACAGTTTTAAATGATTCTGCAAACTAGTTTCACAGAGGCTGAGTGTGAATCTATTTAAACATGACTTGATAAATGCATTTATATTTGTTAGTTCTTCACTTATTTACTTATTTCAAACTTATTCCATTGCACATATTCTCTCTCCTCCTCTTTCTTTACTAACTTTCAGTGGTGTGTATTTTATTTATTCATTGTATTATTTTTGCTTGCTCACGCCACCCTGTTTGTACTTTTACTTCCACTTGTGTTTTCTTTGTTGTTGTCTCTATTCACTCCTTCCCTTCCTTCTCTGTACATCTTTTCTTAATGTTTCTTTTGTTTTGACCTTTTTTCATTTATTTCAGTCTCTCTCTGATACTTTTTTCTAGATGCTTCTCTTTGTCTCTCTACTTCTATTTATTCATTTCTGCTTCACTTTCACTGTATTTCCCTCCCATGTAAGTTTCTATCTGCCCCAAAGCCTCTTTACTTTTCTTTAATCTTCCTTTTTTTCATTTTATTTCTTGATGTGCTCCTTCCATTCCAGTTCCTTCACTTCCATTTTTATCCGCCTAAACCGCCCTCACAAGCTTCTCTTGACTTTTTTGGCCATTTTCGAAAAATCAGATCCAGGATATTTATAACCAGTGCCTCCAACATT